AGTCACGATTTAATATAAAATATAGGTTTCCTTATAAACAGGTTGAGTGAGCTTCGGTCATTATGTCTAGAATTGTCAAATGAGCCGTTAGTTTGGTCGATTATCTACATAGCTGTCGTGATGGGGGAGTGGACATTGTTACATTGATTAAAGATGGGTTCCCTCATTTGAAGCTTATCAGATGTTAAAGATTGGTTCCCTTATTTTCATTTATGAAAATGAAAATGCTAATACTTGTATTTATAGAAAGTAGAGGTGCTCTAATGACTTGAAAAAATACCAGTTTTTCTCACATGTCCATAATTAATTCATAATTAATTCATAATTAGCTAAATTAGAAGAGAATTACCAGCAGAATTCAAATGAATGACCGATCAAGAAGGTCAAAAAGTTTCATTTTGTTTATCCAGACTGTACATACATGGACATTTATAATTGAACTCTTAATTATGCAATAAGATCATAATGATATAATTAAGAATACATGAAAAATCATTAAAAACACCAATTAATCAAATAGTTTTCTTAATTTGACATAAATAAGGAAACCCATCTTTAATAGAATTATCTTAATAATATATTATGTATTCTTCAAGAAATGAAAATACTAATACTTATATGAATAGAAAGTAGAGGTGTTCTAATGAAAAATAGTTTGTCTCACATGTCCATTAGTAATTCATTATTAGCTAAATTGTAAGAGAATTACCAGCAGAATTCAAATGAGTGACAGTTGTATGATCTATTATGAATTAGGCAGATACCCTTTATATATTTTTAGAAAAATCAGAATATTCAAATGTTATTTAAAATTATGCACCACTGAAAATAAATTATTAATAACATATCATTTAAACATGACTCATGGATTTTATACTTAACAATGACTCATGGATTTTATACTTAACAATGACTCATGGATTTTATACTTAACAATGACTCATGGATTTTATACTTAACAATGACTCGTGGATTTTATACTTAACAATGACTCATGGATTTTATACTTAACGATGACTCATGCATTTTATACTTAACAATGACTCATGGATTTTATACTTAACAATGACTCATTAAAACTGAATTTTATAGTATGGGCCTTGGCTATTTATGGGAGAGTTCTAATTTTAACAAGTCGTCTTTTTTTATTGTAAAAAGTAGAATTTTTGATATATATAAACAGAATTTGAATTTTTATTATTGTAAAATGTATTGTCTGATGAGTCAAATGACTCAAAGATAAAGAACTTGACCGATCAAGAAAGGTCAAAAAGCCTTTTTTTGTTTATCCAGACTGTACATACATGGACATTTATAATTGGACTCTTAATAATATGCAATAAGAACATAATGATATAATTAAGAATACATGGTAATGCATAAGAAGCACCAATTAATCAAATAGTTTCCTTAATTTGACACTAAAAAGTAAGGAAACCCATCTTTAATAGAACTATCCTAATATTATAATGATCTATATGACAAGTCAAGTTGACAAACATAATGTAACATTATTACAGGTAGATTTTTGAAAAAGAAGTGGAAAGATTGGGCAACTCGGCCAACCTAAGCACAAAAAAATATCGTTCATTTATCTATTTGAACTCATTGAAGTGTATGACAAGTTAGTATTACTAGCCATGTAGACTCTCCAAAAGGATGCCGAATTAACAGACCCACATACCAACATAAATTACATTAGCTATGTGGACTTCAAAAAGCCAAAGGAATGTCCAAGTAAACGAACCCACACACCAAAAGAAAAAAAGAAAGATTTTACAGGGATAACAAATTAGGTTCACAAAGCACCCTTTCTGTCGGTTGGTCCTTGCCCAATTCTTGGCATTGATCAAGTTATGAAATATATAAGGCCGACTTCGATCTACGATCTGAATTGCAGTCGTTTCTGAACGTTGACAATCGTAGTTTGCTACCTTGGACATGATATTTCATACTGTACATTTTGTGCCTATACAACCTTCCACTTTAAAGTAAATACCAGCTAGTGCATGTTCTGAATATAATTTATAGTATACACGAGTGAGGGCATGAGATGTTGTAAATATTATATTGATAAAATATCTCTTGGATATTTATGGATTACCTATATACTTTATGTGCTTGTTTAAAAGGATTTTAAGGAGGTTTTCGAGGTTATGTAAATATGTCAGGGGACACTTATAGATTCTATTTGCACCATTCTGATTTTCTAGTCTTTGTATTTATATCAGGGATACTTATAGCTTCTATTTACACCATTTTGATTTTCTAGTCTTTGTATTTATATCAGGGACACTTATAGCTTCTATTTACACCATTCTGATTTTCTAGTCTTTGTATGTGTATCAGGGACACTTATAGCTTCTATTTACATCGTTCTTATTATCTGGGCTTCTACCGCTACTTTTTGGCGCCTTGATGTCGATTCATCTTTGAATTTTTTTAGGTGATTTTACTTACATATATAAGCATTTAAGATAAATATGTGTGTACGAGATATCCACATGACATTCAGTATATAACTGCCCCGGGTAGATATATTGTAAACAATGTTAATGATGATTAGTTTCTATCTGTATTTTTATTGTTAATTGTTGACAGTCAGTCATTGATTAAGTGATCTATTGACATTGGTGATAGGGGCATCTTCACAATGTCAAGCTATTACGAACTTTGTACTTATACCTTGACTGCAATACGCATATAATTACCTTTCTGGTATCATGAAAGTTTGTAAATGATAAAGATTTGATTGGATCGTACGTTAGCGAATACAGGCAATCGGAGGCTGAAAGTCTGTAAACGTATGGGATGCCGACAACCCGTGTCATCCCACATCACACCTTAATTATTCCCGTTTCGCCCCAATCCATATCGCCGCTTGCTCTTTTGCCCCTTTCCCCATACGGCCTCCACCAATTTGTCTCTTTCCACTTCGCCCCTTCCCATTCGTCCCTACTTTTTTGAAAAATTATGCCACCTAATAGTAATAAGTTATGCTTGTTCCGATTTGAATCCTGGTCCGTGTGCATTGTGGTACTGGAGCAATTAGAATTTGATTAAGAGTAAGCTGGAATGTCTCTGCCACGGCAAAAATTTACAAACGACAAACAATATTAAGATTTATATTCAATAACTTCAATTAGTTGAAATTTTATGTAAATGTTTGACGACTGAATAGGCTTTTTTTCATTTTTTTTTTTATATCAATCTAATTAATTAATTCTTTTTCTTTGGAAGGGAGCAGAACGGGACAAGGGCGAAAGAAAAGGGGACAAAATGGGAATAAAATGTGGTAACAGAAAATAGTTACAATTTATCCACAAAGTTTTAATGATTTATTACGACTATATATTTTTAGACAATAGTAAAAAATATTACTAGTGATTTATTGTTGACAGCAAAACTTGTCACGTTTATTTTACCAATGGAATTTCAACCTTTGATTTCTTTTGCATTCAGATGATGGATAATGTTAACATAATATATGTTTACACTTGCCTTGTATCTGAAGTATCGATACACGATAGTGCCGTATTGCTATATGTATCGCCTCGCCGATATTTTGAACCAATCAAAGCGTGCCACGTAGCATCTGTTTCTTTACAACAGAAAGTTGGAATAGGGAAGCCCAAATATGAGCAAAATGAAATTTTTATTTTGCTCTCCCACAATTGCCCTAAATATCAATAAATGGGCCCTTATGACGCGCTTGGATTAAGGATAACGTCTTTAGAACGGAACTGTGGTAACAACCTTGTTAGATTTCAAGAAGACGAAATTTTATATAGGGTATTAAAGAAGCCTGCTATTGCTGCTCAAAATACACAATAAAATGCAGGCAAAAAAAAAAATAGTGACAAGACTGCTACAATTTTATAGTTCAAGGGAGATAACTGATGAATATAATATTTTAATACGATTGCAGACAACCTCTTGAAGGGTTGATGGATGATCACATGAAGTTGTGCCTCATAATCTAATCTCCCGTAAACCCTTTATTACTCTTTACGATCTGTTAATTACACCTAGAGACAGGACAATATCATCCAATCATTGGGCTTGATTACTTCTATAGCGTCCACAAGGGATTTCAACAGAATGTGTGGATTGTTGATTGATACCTGGGGCATTTCCATTGTCTTTTAGTGCAATTAAGAGGTCCTTAAATATTATAAATGGCATCCACGTGGATTGTAATTGGATTAATTGATAAAGTTTTTGATTAAGATTTAGTTATCAGCGTACTGTAGGAAAGGCAAGGCGGTGAATATTCTGTGACCTAAATGTTCCCTTAAAGCAAGTTTAAGTTACCTAAAACAGATGACACGAGGGTAGGATTTATTTTAAACTTTGGAATATAATCGAACGCTGTGTGTTATGTCCTTTCTGAAGTGTATTTAGAATTCGGTATAAAGTCTTGAATGTAAGTCGAAAGCTCCTTTCAAATTTGCGTCAATGGAACTGCTGATATTTGCGGAATCGCTATAATTTAGAGGTTCTTATATCGGGATAGATAATTATGATGCTTCTCTACACGAGTTGCTTATATTAAAGACCTTTTTACGGCTGACAATCGAGACAGTGTCTCTCGCATGAGCCTCGCTGTTCTTGCAAAATGTCCCCAATTGCACATTCCATGGTGTTGCAATGTTTTATCTGCTGATTAAATGCCTCACTTATTATGCAACCCTACTCGATAAAAATATTTTACTGAATGTGAAAAATATTATTCTGTAATTATTATGTGATTTCAGGTGAATATCATCATGACGTCATCATCAGAAACTGATAAACCGGAAGTAACAGACATATTATTAAGGGACAATGTGGAAGAAAACGGCGCAACACTCACGTTCGCTGATGCCACACAGAGCGAGTATGGGCAGACCGAATCAGACAATTCCAGCGAATCGTACACAGGACGGTGTTCTAAATTGCGGTGGTGTTGCAACAGAATTTCACGACCATTCCGAACCAAATATCATCCATTAGAATTCGAAGCGTCATATCCGGAACGTTTTCTATACGCTATACGATGTCCACCTCATGGGCGAGCTGCCCGGTGGCTAGTGTTTTTGTTGACTATATTAATGCTATGGGCTGTAGTTTGGGCAGTGAAAGAAGACGAAGCCCTGCCCTATCATAGTTATTTTGGAATGATTATATTGTTTCCATTGTGTATTATTGCTGGGTTAAATGTACAGCAGATTCGATTACCTCCCCTTTTAGGTAAGCTTGTTTCTTAAATTGTTCCTTTTCTACTGCTCAGTGCTATATTAATAACTCATACCCAGTTTTCCTTACAATAGAAAAGTAGGAATTAGGGGATGAGAACCGATTCTTAAATATCACTGGCACAGTAAGAGTCGTGATGGAGCTGGTTAATGAACCACCAAAACCATTATTCTTTCGGCATCAGAAAAGTTCGATCACAACACTGATATTTTTATTGTCCATTTACATTAAGAAAAGGAGATTATTTAGAGGAGAAATTTTAAGACACCCTTATCAAAGATTTCACATTTACTTAAACCTTAAACTTTTGTCATAATTTTTCCAGCGTTTCAAATATTCCTATGACGTGATTACATTTTCCCATTCAGAGATGTCGATCCTTGCAGTCACAATACATGAAAGGGATCGGAACAACTTCTCTGTATGAGAGATTGCTGTGATTATTCCCGCGATGAAACTCTAATGGGTATCACAATGTATTTGTATATTTATAATTTGCAGGTATGTTATTATTGGGATGTTTATTGAGAAATGTTCCTGTTATTAATTTCGCTGAGAGTATAGATAAACAATGGTCGTCTGCTTTAAGGTAGGTACATGTCCGCCATCTTTAATTTGTGTTTTCTTCTTAAGGAACGATTTAATTAGAATTTGTTATCTTTCCAATAGCTAGGTGCTGTCTTCTGCATTTGTTTTTCTTTCTTTATACGATTTTGCTTTTGTGTTTACAACTAGCATGTCGATTTGATGTAACTGTGCAAGTTGAACTGCAATTAAATATTCTGTGCTTCTATTTCAGGGCTATTGCTTTAGTGATCATCCTAACTCGAGCAGGGCTGGGTTTAGATCCACAAGCGTTGAAGAAGCTATCTTTTGTGGTCCTGAGACTTGCTGCTCTACCTTGTTTGTGTGAAGCTGTTACAGTGGGGGTAGCCGCCTGGGGTATTCTAGGATTTCCCTGGTCCTGGGCTTTCATGCTAGGGTAGGTATTCTTGACTAGTTCATGTAATTTAACACATCCAGACACTATGATAACACCAGTGGTGGCACCAGCCTCCCAAGACTTGGGGTACAAAGAGGGGACAGACTGACTTAATTGTCGATTCAAAATGCGGAAGTTCTGTGGGAGCGCCATCGACACAAGCCTCCCATGGAGCATATAAGAGGGTTCTCCCCAAAAACATTTAAATACGTATAACACAAATAAAACAAATAACGTGTACAATTCATATTTTACAATTTGTTAGAAATGGGGGTGGGGTGCGAAACTACTTTCTTGAAATGGTGTAAATTGATGCTATCGGTGTCTCTGTTAAGAAAACCTCTTTATAATCCCTTTAAAGGTTCATCCACTCTGCCGTATCTCCAGCTGTCGTTGTTCCCAGTATGTTGAAGCTCCAGGAGGAGAAGCTAGGTACAGATAAGGGAATTCCCACCATGGTTATAGCTGCTGGTAGTCTAGATGATGTAATAGCTATCAGTGGTTTCGGTATCGCTCTAGGTATAGCTTTCTCTGAAGGTAAGACAACAAATCTTTCGATGTTAGCATGCAAACAAAGAATTTGCATTATTTAAAATTATCGATTCGCCATTTTGTAAATGTTCACTGGTCAATGTATCAAATTAAAGACAGTGCCCCACTTTTTCAGCGGGATCTTTGAGACTGTATTTACGTGTTTTACCTTCCAGGAAATCTAGCTATGACGCTGATCCATGGACCAATAGAAGCGGTAGCTGGTCTAGCTTTTGGACTGATTTTTGGAGTCACGCTGTGGTATCTTCCCAATAAAGACAGTGTAAGACATTTTTTTTGGATTATTTATGTTGTCAGTCAACTGCCTGTGTATGTCAATAAAACCCGTACAAGCAAAACAATTCCACACCCAAAGATAACGTCCAAAATATGACAAAATCTGGAGCAATAAATGTATTGTAGTTGACTAATCAATCGAGAAATATCATCAATATGGCCTAAGTCGTTCCAACACCTTATCATTTATGTCACCCTGCTGTCTGGCGTGGCAGAGCTGGGTCATATAATTTGAAGTAAACGTTTTAGTTAGAATGTTATCATTAGTTTTCTAATCATGTCATCAAATGTTAGAAATAGATATGTCGGTTTTACGTCAGTCTCAACTAATGATCGCATGTAGCAATCGAGAGACATGAGCACAATCTTGAAAAGCTAACAACAAAGACAATTATTTTTTTTTAATTTTCAGAGCCGAGTTGTATTTTATCGATTCGCTCTGATATTTGGGGGCGGATTGTTCTCGGTGTTCGGGAGCAGAACCTTGGAGCTTCCCGGAGCAGGTGCTCTGGCATGTTTAACCATGGCGTTTGTTGCTGCTCATGGATGGAGACGTGATGGTTGGGCTGGAAACGTAAGTTTTGTTCAGAATTATTTCTATTGGCTGGAGAGACGAGAATGCTGGAGTGGCGATCCAGAGCTGCTATGTGAATTGGAAGTATGGTCTCCTTTCATATCCACCTAATTTATTTTGCTGGCTAGTGGTCTTACACCACGGGATTGTTTATGTGAAAGACACACCTCAGTTTTCTTTACAACTTATTCACCGTGTAAATGTTTATACTGTTTCAGAACGAAGTTTCTCAAATTTTCGCCAGATTATGGCAGATTTTCCAACCATTATTATTTGGTTTAATCGGTGCGGAAGTGGATATTTCAAAGGTCAAGGTCGATCTCATTGGTGAGCAATTCTTTTTATAAACATACCACCCGAATTTAAAGGGAAATTAATGTAATCGACTTGCGTTCGTATACTTTGTTTTGTTTGCAATAGATTCCCTCGTATAAACCCTGGACCTCAAATAGCTTTCCAGCCATGACATGTCGTGATTTTCTGGTGTTTTACCTGGTACGTGTGGTCGATCCTCTATTTCGACCACCGTCATCTGCAATCTATTTGAGATGCTCTTGAATCTTTCTGACTACACACAACTGAAATTGTGGCGTGTTAGCTAGATGTCCGTGATAATTTATGAGTCCACGTGTGAGCACACTGTATCAATTAGAGGACAACTGTTTTTGAGTGTGTTCTCCTCAAAAAAAACTATTTGAAAAGTCATATTTTGAAATTGCTCTGAATTGATGTGGGGGTACAGACTATTTTTTGAATGATCAAATGCCCCATCCCTAGTGGGCCAAAAATCCTATAGATGAAATGATTTATCATTCAGGATCTATCAGGGCCAATACTGATGTAAATGAAATATGTTTTATCTTGCAGGATCTGGTACTGGTGTATTATTTATCGGACTAACTATCAGAGTTATTGTATCATTTTTTGTTATGTTCGGTACAGAATTAAACTGGAAAGAACGATTCTTTGTACCATTCGCCTGGCTACCTAAAGCTACTGTACAGGTATGTGTTTAAACAATTTGAAAGAAGCAAAATTTGCACGCCAATGCCAAGAGCTGGGAACTTATTTCTAGAGATGTATATTACTTTTGTTATTAGTTTTATGTATGGTATAGGTATTGTTTCTTTTGATCGGAGAAGTTTCCCATAGCAAGGTGGAATAGGCGTGATTTTCGAAATCTAGACACTGAAACTAAATTACTTCACTTTGATGAGAAAAAAATAATCTTCACTGTGACAGATTGTCTGACAGGTAATCTTGTAAAAAAAATTTGAATGGAATGACCATTTTGACAATGAAATGTGTAATTTCAGGCAGCTGTGGGTTCTGTTGCTCTAGATACAGCACGTGAAAAGGGAAGCGATCCAGAATTTATAGAACTTGGCACAAAGGTAGGGGCGAGTGATAAGATATATTCAACTGCATGCGGGGTGGGTACTAGAGGTTTGCGATCCACAGACGACAAAAAAGTTGCACATACCTATTCTACGATTTTAGCCACACATTGAGAAAACGAGATAGGATTGATAGGAGTTGTTGTGGTTGTAAATGAAATGTTCTTTGTTTGTTTCAAAATAACCGTCTATCAACACCTTAAATACTGGCAAAAAGATGACGTTTATGACCTCTTTGGAACGGGTAGGAGGGTTGCCCGAACCATCCTTCAAACTATGCCCCTGTATCGGAAAATCGGCCGTGATGTCATAGATGTGGTTTGCTTATCACAAGATGCACAGCTTGAAAGGTTGTAAGAGTGGTTTGTGCTATCAATTGTCCTACTCAAGACAGGCATTTCTTATTTTCCGCATATCACGGCTGAGCTGATTTCTCCTATTAGGAGTGATCCGGGTAATGTAAACATGTTAAATTGTAAGCCTAAAATCCTTATAGACCAATTTGTATATTCATTATTTTTTTCAGGTTCTGGCGATGGCTGTATTGGTTATAATCATCACCGCACCCCTCGGGGCTGTAGCTATCTCACTTACTGCTCCTAGACTCCTCAATAAAACCCCCACAGATATCGAAATGACTGTCGTTCGTCAGGAGAATGATGAGAACGATCCCGAAAGGAAACTCTCCAAGTCTGATCAAAAAGCATTGCGAGCTTTCGAAAAGAAGAAAATGTCGCTACAGACGGAACTGGAAAACGTTGAAAAGAAAATTGAAACCCGTAAGATGTCTGTACGATAGAAACGTTGAGGTGTTTTTACAATGTCCGGGGTTACAGATAATGTGGGTTTCAAAAGATACAGTAAAAGAGGGCGGGAAACATAGGTTGACAAAGTATACGGTTCTGATATAAACACGCGTTTGAGATATAAAACCCCCAAATTAGTAGATTTAGTTTTGGAAATAGGGAAACTTTACATTAGGCGTAAGAGCAGTCTAATTAAAATTAGACCTAACTTCCGTTCGTATTTTATTAGTTTCGTTTCGAATGTTTTATTAGCTATTAGTTTTGTACGTAATCACTGCAGTAAGGTCTAACACTGTCCTTCTTGACTCTGTTTTAACCAATCACGTGGCTGTCCTTTCCAGCGACGGAATAATGTGACGATGGGTCTATTCCGATGTATATTAGACTAGCTTATTAAGTACTGCAAATACTGTAGTGGTTACGTACAAAGCTAATAGCTAATTAAACATTCGAAACGAAACTGATAAAATACGAACGGAAGTTTGGTCTAGGTCTAATTTTAATAAGACTGTGTAAGAGCAAACTGGGAAAATTTTAATTTAGTCGGTGGCCAGATTATAAAAGAAGAGGTTTCGATGGAATTGAATTAAATTCACTACGAGAAGCGCTTTGAACAAAAATCTATACAAGCAAGACAATTCCTTCAATCAAAAAATCTTGTATATTAGTGGACTCCTCCTAAGAGAAGTACCATCAGGTGTTTTGAAAGGAGTAAGTGTGGTCTGCATCACCCGCAACTACATGTAATATTATTGTCAAAATCATGAGATACAACCAGATCAATTTATGCTTGATCAAACAAATCAGCCAAATTCAATAAACAGATTTATTATATTCTATCTATGTGTTCTATTGTGTTCAGCAGTGTTATGTATCTAATATCAGGTCGATTAGCGGTTTATAAGAGTAAAACCGAACTGAATTCGTGCATTTGTTCACCCTATGATGCGTGTATTCTATTCGCTCAAATATTTTAGTGTTCTCTATGTATTTTTTAGAACTTTTTATGAACGTTTTTCCTAGTTTAATCTAATCCGCTAACTGTTATTGTAAATATTGTTATAGTATTATATTGTTTGTATATAGTGTTTTATATAGATATAAGATAAAGAATAAAGTTATAATATACATGTTGTTGCTCTGCTCTCTGTTATAAACTACCTTATGGCTTCGCATGTTTACCCCCTCTTCTTCATTTCGTCTGATGACGACACGTGTAAATTGTGTTTTCATAAATAATTCAGACCGATTTGAAGGCTCGTTTAAATGGGTCACTGATATTTATGCACGTTTCCTAAAAGATACTCGGTAAGTCTTAATTTATATTTCAGTGACGGACAAAATATAAACCTGTTTATTCTATTTTGACCGGATTTTTCCATTGAAAATCATATTATACAAACTTATCAGGCGCCCATACTGCATATAAAACTTGCTGACCAACTCAACAACATAACTTATCAAAAATAAAAGATTTTCAATGGAACTATAATATATCCACGATATTGGATTGTCAGCTATACCCAAATTGGGGCCAAATTAAGTTATAGTATACACTGTTAATCGACGAACTAAAAATGGTTATTATTATGAGATAATCCCCTCGGTTAATCCATTTGTTTAATTAATCCTGTTATGAACCCTAGAAACGCAATACAGTAATCATTAAATGGCAGACGGCAGACAATTTGTATTTTTCTGGTATTTTCACTATCTTTGCTCAACTTGAGGGTCTTTACCTACCAGTTTCATACTTACTACCTGGACATCATCAGAATGGTAAGAATTTAGGATAAATACAGCTTTGCAGTTCCAAACAAGTGGTTATGTATTTTGCGCTTGAAACCTTGTTAAGAGCACTAGTCTCTCACTTTGAGATAAGCAGAATGGAACTAGCTGGTGTCTATGATGTATCTCAATTTGGATTAAAATATTGATCTGGGTGTTTAGTTTCGTGTAAATGCCAACAGTTTGTCTCATGTTGCCGACAAGTGTTTCATGTCCTCAATCCTCGCCAAGTTGGTAAAGGAGTATTACTTTCTACTATTGAAAAGAAACACGCCTACGTTAGAATGTTCACAAACACTCTAAAAATATATTGACCAGAGCACATCTCATGCTCCCAACACGTGTTTCAGATACACAATCAAGTTCATCTATTTCTATTTGTCACTAAATGTTTGTAATGTGTTCTTCCAGAATGGTGAAGGTTTAACTCCATCAGAGGCCGAAGGTCAGTATGTCTTTCTCTTTCCAACACGTTTTAAATCTTAGCCGCTGCATCAGTTTCGATTTTGCGATTTCCTGAAATTATACCCTCAAGAAAACAAACTGTGGTAAAGAAAGGTGAAGGCCACACGAAATATTGAAAACTTAAATAAATACCTGTTCTGAAACACTTTAGTTTTTGTCCATATCTATTTTAGTTTATGTTCTGGATCGTTGGGATGTGGTGGCTCTACTTTTGAAACACCCTATTTATCATTTTTTGTCGTTTTACCTCAGAATTAACAGAAGCGTTTCACCTATTTGATAAAGACGGGAATGGTAAGATCTGTACAACAGAACTGAGTAAGGTCCTTCGAGTTCTTGGATTGAACCCGACAGAGAAATCTATACAAGAAATGATGGAAAAGTTTGACAGCAATGGTAAGTTGATTAAGTATTTACTGAGGAGGACGTGCACGAGCTATGCATGTGGACTATATATATATATATATTTCCAATTTTCCACAAATTACAAAAGTTTCTCCGTTCCCCTACAAAATACAAAATACGATTTTTATACTTTTTTATCCCACAAATATGTGAAAATGTATCCAATAAATTCTATTCTACAAAATATATATTAAGAACCCCCGTAGACCTCAGTGGCAGACTACACCGTATTTGGAATCTTAATCCTACAGTTGACCAAAAATTCCAGGAGTTTGATGCTTGCTTTAGCTGTTGCAAATTTCCTCATTGCACAATGCATTGAGTTGATCAACCTTTCTTCATTAGTCCAAACTTAAACAAAAAAGTCAATTTTAAAATTCATTTTTTCTAGAATCAGGATATATTGAGTATGAAGAGTATATAAAATGTATCCAGGGTTTTATGTTGAGTGCAGACGAGATAGAGGTACAGCTGAAACAGGCCTTCCTGGTGTTTGATAAGAATAAGGACAGCCGACTGGATATTGAAGAGTTACGTAGGGTGCTGATGTCTATGGGAGAACCATTAGGCTATAAGGAAACCTGTGAAATACTCAAGTTAGCAGATGTAGATAAAGATGGGAAATTAAACGTCGATGGTACGTAGACATTGTACCAATGTACAAATAGGCGGAAACAACAGATTTAAATGTGTTTTCCGTGAAGTTTTAAATTTAAGGAAGCTTTTTTGTTGATACAAAACACAATGCATTTTTTTCTAACACACTCGACATACTTTAGTCACTTTTTACACACCTAGCGTTGTGCCCTTCGCAGAATTTTTCCCTTTCCCTGCAGCTGGTATTTCAGTATAAAAAGAAACAAAATTACAGCACTTGGTATTTTGAGGTTTTTGAAACAATAAATCTTATAGGATGATAATTCATATTTACTTTCTGTCTGTGTAAAATAATTTGAAATCTCTGTAATAGTTATTCAGCAGTCTGTGCATTAAAGGGGAATAATTCAATTTATTTTGTTATTTCAGAATTTACCAAGTTTCTGTGTAAGAAGATTTAAGATTGAGAGGATGAAGAATTCACTAGTGCTATTCAGTGTTAATACAACCAAACCGGGAAGTCATGTGAAGATTATAATGTAGTATTAGATTGGATATGAAATGTAGTTAGAGACGTAGGAGCTTGAAGTTTGGAAAGCATCTGCTCATCTCTTCCAAAACGAATAAAAAATATTATTGTCCATCGCTCCATTTCTTCTATTGTTTGCTTGCTTGTTTGTGTGTGAATCTACCTATCTGCATAGTTAGGGAAAGAGTGCTGATACCATCAATTCCACTCCCCTTACTCTGATATCAAACGATCTATTATTGGCGACGAATTCACTATGATAAAACGGTTGTGTAATCGAGGTTATTTGCTGTTTATCATTTTTTGAATTAAATTGTGGTTTTAATCTCTATTATCAAATAAATAAAATATTTACAATTTGAAGAGCACACAAAATAGTAGAATAGATAGTTTAAATGATATAACGAGAATAAAATACAACATGAGAGTTGATTCACTTTTATTTTACAGGATATTACAAGTTAATTCTTTTAATCACATCCTTACCGTTCACGCTAATCTGATTAAATACAGATCAAGATGTTCCGTTTCGTGTTTTTAATCTACAAAAATATCACCAAACAATTCAGCATTTAACCAGATTGTTGCTTATACAAGAAGACATTAATAGACCCTGTTTGAACAAATCGAAATGTTACAAAAGTGAAACTATACATCAAATGCTTTATGAAAATCATCGATGTGCATGTTCTCTATTCACCAATGTCGGTGTCATTATTGAAATATTACTTTATCACACCAATAACATCAAATCCTTAACGAAGATAAGTACCGCCAATGTCAACTTTGGATAAACAATCACGTCAGTTTATGTCAAATGCTTTTACAAAATCACCAACAAGACAAAGGCACCAAACATAACACACAACGACCATCACACATCACCAGGTCTGGCCTGAAATTAAACAAGATTTTTATCCGAGTGACTTAAATAAATTGCAGTTTTACTTCATTTCCACAACAACAGTACAAGGTTTATATAATAGTATTTCTTTTATAACAGAAAATATATGTTTGCTATATAATTACCTAAATCGGCTCACGATGACAGATAGTTTAAAGTCTTAAAATTGACATTATTAAGCCTTTTTTGTCGAATTAACAGTCTTGATTTTATTTTCCTCGGTCCTATTATTCAAATTACTAGCTTCCGGCATCATTAGCCGCCTCTTTCTAAGATAATTGATGCGTAGGATAAACGATTCGGTTGTTAACCCACCATTGTTTTTGTAGTACGATTTCACAAACGACGGACAATCACCTAAATACCGCTCTATATCCAGTCTCGGGAATAGAAATGGCTTCACATTTTCAAAATTTGTCTTTGAGAAATCCAAATACACGTCTTTACTTTCTTTCACAACTTTTGGTTCCTCTTTTTCGACGACAACGACGTCATTTTGTTCGTCTGCCATGATGGGTTGTCAAGCTATGATATGATAATGTATGTATATATAATTATTATCGTATCTTGACGATGTAATTTAATATCTATTATGTTTTATAAAGTCCCGTGTAATCTTCTACTATACCAACATTAACTTAAGTTTAATCTTATTATACTCCTTTATTTCAGTGTGACGACGGTTAAAGGACACTTTAAGAACATTTTTAAGCGAATGGTTTAATTTAAGTACCATAGACCAGTGTTTCTCAACAACTTTTAGCCCTCACACCTCCAGAGCAATGATTTGATATCCTCATGCCTCTGTATATTGTGTGATATTTATTTTCGAGCCAATCATAATACCCTCAATGTTCTCGACCAGACTTGGTTAACTCCATAGTCGTGGATGTTATACATCCATCGAGTACAAAAACATGCACCATAAGTTCTAAATATAGATCCCCAAAGATAAACTCTACCCCACACACCTAGAGGGGAACCAGGGCTATAGATACCTGCTCGCTAGCCATAGAATTCGGGATTCTTTCCGGGTTAAAAACACCTTCTGAAACAAAATTTCTAAGAACTACGAGGACTCATGTGTTACACCGAGTGCACGTTATTTACAATTTGAAATATAAAAAGATTTCTGAATTTAGAATCCCATATCGAGAGCTGCTCAAGAAAGAAAACATGGGTTTCTGTTGAGGGCTCAGATTGGCTGTATTCGTTACCGTACAATCCAATAAAATCGCTACACTTAAATACAAGAAAGGCATCGTATCACGAATACGGGTTTTGGCATGATTTTATTAACCCCGAGTAAGTATGAAGAATGGGGGTGTGGTTTGGACAGATGCAAGAAAGGTGGCTATTGCAGTAAAGGTATGTTAACAAGACAAGACGAGTAAACACCTCATCTCTGAGGAAAAAGCTTAGCAGAAGCTAATTTTATAAACAGACCTGTTATAGACAAGTATTTATGTTTATGATCATGTTTTTTATTGAATCATCAATTATATATAATAAAACTCATCAATACAAAATAACGACTGAATGAAGATACTGGCCTGTGTTTATATGGACTGAGAATTTCAGTTGGTTATCAAAAGCCAGGAAGTGTTCTATTTTTCAATCTGTACTGTAACTTAAGAAATGGCATAAGAACCCAAGCTTTTACACAATAAAATACAGATCATGACGGTGAATTGAAAACCACATGATGTTCCACAGTCGTGCCTATTTTTATTTAAAAGAGAATCCTGCACATAAATTTATCTGTACGAAATGAAATGGAGCGACTGAGATTTCATCGAGATGCACGCTGGAAAGATTAACAAATTCCAGCATTAATGAGTCTTTAAGATGCGACATTATCAGTTTATACAGAACAAAAAATACGTAAATAGACTTATTTGGACAGAAGTAAATAGATCCCACCATTTTTGCATTTCCAAAAATAAAGCACTATATCAAAATGAACCAAAACATTCGTTCATATCCACCCTTCTGTCATTTAGAGGTACTGCAGATTTTTTCTAAAAGTAAAGCACTTATCAAAACGTAAAGATACGTTCGTATGTCCGTTTCTGCACAGCCCTATCAACAACTTGAGCGACTTTCAGATCGCAATTCTTCTGTTATTTCCCCAACCATTGCCTGCTTATAGTATTCCCAATCCGTTTTGATTTGCAGGTTTTCTTGAAACGTTTCTTCCGCCGGATATGGTCGGACTTGTTGACGGATCAGTTTCTTCACCTGTTCGTTTGCGTGTTTGACGTAGAATTCTTTAGAAACCATGATGCATTCGGCGCCTCTGCTTACCAAACTAACGGAGGTTTCAGATTTAGCGATATCGTCATCAAACTGAATAGATGGAAGACCCTGGAATAAAGACCAGAAATGTGGCTATTGGAGTCAAGGTATAAGCCGAAAGTCGTAATAGCTTAACATTGTGAAGATGTTGTAGTCAAGGTATAAGATTAAGTTAGTAAAATACTGACATGTGAAGATGTATAAATGAATGTTCAGTCAGATGGCAGATGACCTGAACCCCAAAGATATTATAAACACTTCTTTTAAAATGGGCACAAAATTGGTATTATCTGGAGACAGATAAAATTGATATTTCCTTAATCCTAAGGTTAATATCATTATTTATGTCACTGCCGTCAGTATTAAGATTGTAGACAGTGATAGATAATATGGAAGGACAATCTATCGAAATGTAGGTCATGTACGCGCATTTGTATATCATAATGTAACTAACGGCCTAACGAACTGTTGTTAAAAAGATGAGCATGTAATACTTACGAAGACATCACGTGGTTTGAGATGTTCAACTTGAACAAAAACATTGCCTGGTTTAGTTGGTGCTAGGTTAGGATGAGCCGATTTCATTATTCTAGGTGATCTATATTTAGCACTCATTCTCTCCCCTTTTTTTCGATCTCGTTCTTCCTTAGCTGATTTACACATTGACTGAAAGGTCAAAGGTCAAACATTAAAGCTATACCGAGGGCTAAAATGCTTTCTTATGACATTAATTACAATTTCTGTGTTGTAAAGAATTCATTTATAATCAATATGTTTTATATTATATAATTTATATACTTCGTTAGATATAAATAAGACAAAGTTAATTCGAATACTGAAAAATATCACATTACTGATCTGTATTGAAATGAAAATATTTTATTTGTATTGTAAAAAAATACACAAAAAAGCTATACAAGCAAAGAAGAAAATGAGAAGATATGCAAACGACCCCATATTCCGAATCAGGTTTACCTGACAGGAGTTAATGAAGGGAGGAGTTAATGAAGGGGGAAGATAACAAGTGATTGTTAATCTTACTCTGAGAAAAGGGAAATTGATTAATATAGGTATAAAACATGAAATCATAATGCTATATACGTTAGAAAAATCAACAAAAAATTAAATCTAGTAAAAAAAAAACAGTTATTCTAAGCAAGCAGAAGAAGCGTCAGTTAGAAGTTTATGAAAGCACATCTAAATTTTCTAAGCCAGGGTCATACATACAAAATGTGGCTTAGACATGGTTGGTTGTTTTTTATAACTATCCAATGAAAAACTGTCGTTTCTATCAAACGAAACCTCTGGAGTAGTCTCACTCTCTCCTAATATCTCGTTCCACTGTAGAAAATAAATCTTAATTACACCATAGCTTGGTAGCTTTAAAGATGGGTTTCATTATGTCAAATTAAGCAAACTTTTTGATTATTTGGTGTTTCTAATGAAGTATCATGTATTCTTACTCATATTATTATGTGTACGTACAGTCTGGACTTTTTGACCTTTCTTGATCGGTCACTCATTGGAATTCTGCTGGTAATTATGGACATGTGATACAAACTGATATTTTTCCGAGTCATTAGAACACCTCTACTTTCTTTTCATATCAGTATCAGCATTTTCATTTTCATAAATGAATATAAGGGAACCCATCTTTAAGCAAAAGTATCAGTTTACATTTTTGTTCAGTATCAAGACCGTATTAGCCACAGGCTGTTCGTTACCAAAAAGCAGTAACCTTAAAATATAGATGTTCCTGATCTGACCAAAAAATCCCACATTGCACACAGCACACACATTGATTAAGAAATATCGGTTTACACATGTTTCTAATTACCCTAATTGAAAAAGGCATTAAAATATGAAACTTAAATTAAATAAAATATAAACTTTATGAATAAAAAACAACAAAGTGCTATAAACCCTTAATACCCCTAAAAAGTTAACAAACGTATTTTTGTTGGTAAAATTTGTTAATAGAAATTTGTAAAACTGCAACCTGAACCAACACGAATACAGAAGAACGGAGTAAAATAGAAGAATCGAACATACCCTTCTAAATAACTGTTCTTCAGTTAAGTCTTCTTTTCTTTTCTTCTTCCTTCCAGTGTCAACTTTAGCTTCTGAAACACATTAACGAAAATTTGAATTATTAACATATATTGCGTGGATTATCATAAAAGACAAACCAAATCGAAATCTGGTCTATTTTGTCAAGGTCCCAGCACCCACCACAATACTTACTAAACTTAGACTCATATTCAATACAGACTTTAAAATTGGAGTGGTAAGGTAACATGTTGAAGATTGACCAGTTCTTATTAATTTCAGTACCGGTATGGGTTCTTATACACATTCAAACGATGACAATCTACTATATTTAATAACAATAACATGGGCTATATAAACACCAACCGCAAGTAATGTTCATATTTACAATCAAATCTCACTGAGCAGAGTGTGGTACCAGGCAGGGTAAGCTTACTCTTGTAGACACCTGATATCACTTTTCATTATGAAATACTTACTCACTAATAATTGATATACTTCCTTATGTCAACAGTTCATTTGTTGTATTGCCAAACTGTTATTTTGTGTTTCGGGTTTCGTTTTGCGGTTCGTATCGTTAATACTTGGATTTGTTTATATTATTCCAATTCAATATAATGCCGATATATAAAACTCTCTACCTTGTTCAGCAGTTGGTAGATTAGGAAGTTCCCAACTATCATCCATCTTGACATCTTTTTTACTTAAACTGGTTCTAGCTGTTACCCCTTTTAACATCTTCATTACTTGACATGATCCCTGAAATTATTTCAAATGTTTTCAACTATTGGTGTATCTCCATTATCTGAATCTATTATTATGTCTAAAACGTGAACAAGTAAGCATGCCCATAGCCAGCCCCTCTCCCTCCACCTCCCTAAAAAAATTGTTCCCACCCCTGGAAAATTTAGAGGACTTTTAAAACGACTTGTTGAGTCGCTATAGTTAAACACCCCTTCAAAAAATTCGCCCCCGCCCCCTTGAAACCCTGTGCTAGATATGGGCCTGTCAGTAAGTTGTATTGCTTTGCACAAAACCTTTGTAAATGCTGCCCGAAAACATGTTGAAGTCTGGAGGAAAGTAGGGCAAAACTAAAGGGCACCTCCATGGCCTATGCTTATGAAAGTGATATGTCAGCTTCACTAAATTAAGCACTGTGGTGAGTGTCTATAACGAGGCAGGACAGGCTCAACTCTTCTTTCGAGAGTCTACATAGCTTATATATGGAATATTTATGACTACTTACTGATTTAACAACATATAGCCAATCATTAACTCTACTATCTTTTACTATTACTACATTTCTTCTACAAAATAATAAATAATACATGTAATAGTTCTTAACGGGATTGTAAGAGGTTTATATCTTTGTGTGTATCTGTGTAACCACAGACGTCTGACTGAAAATTGGAATGGTGCAAATTGATGATATCAGTGTCCCCAATATACATACAAATTTTATAAAACTTCATTACAATCCCTTCAATGGTTTTTAATAGTAAATAATGGAGATAAGGCCATTGAACTGTAGGATGAGAAAAGTGATCGACTTTACTAATATTATATAATATATCGCTAACAAGGCATTGAATGCGCTCACTCTTTCGGAAAACCTTACTGTCAAGAGTGGCAAACCACACCATGCATTTAAGACAAGAAATCATCTGGAAGGCCGAAGCCATTCATGAATGTTTTAGGGATGATAACCAACGACGTTTGACTTACTTGAAGAAATGTAACAGACAATGTTGTGAGTTTTCTACCAGTCTGTCTATTGGCCAGTTTTTCATGAAATCTAGCTGACTGAAACAGATTATTGTAGGTCTATTGAGGTACTCAGAAAGTAGTACAGTTTTAACATAACAGGTAAAACAAAAATGACACAGAGACCTATACAGTATGTTAGTGAAAACACTGCTGTATTTTCATCGTATTGTTCTAAAAGATAAACAGAAATGAACTGAAAATACTGAAGGGAGCTGGACGTAAATTCCTTAGAAATGTCACTGAAAACTCGACGTGTGTCTATGATTATACTATATTATCTACGAAACAGTAGTGTTTCTACTGAGGGTTGGGTGCAGTTCTGGCTCGCCCCGACCTTATATTCTGTAGCGATTAAACCTAATGATTCACGGAATCGGCACTGCTACGAAAAGAACCTGATGTAAGTAAAAGAGGCCTTACCTTACAAATTTGATATGATCTGGTATTTGCCCCGGGCCACTCCCAGCCATGAAAATATCAAAGAAATCTTCTCGACCAATAGTTAACATCTGTACAGTATCCTGACTGGACACAGTGGCTGTACGTCGAGAATGATGTAGTAAGGCAAGTTCCTGCAAAGGATCACAATACAAGAGGGTTACTGGTGTTTTTACATTGTTTAACCAGGAAGACGTCATTATCGCAAAGGTCGTTACATATCAACAGCAGGTTTGAGTTTTAGTGGAAAATTGCAGAAATTTTTGTTAACACTTTTAAAGATTTAAAAAAGTCTCCGAGAACCCCATCAAAGTTAAAATAAGTCAATATTCTGACGCTGTAGGAAATTATCTGTACTGTGAAACTTACCCCAAAACTCATCCCCTTCCTCATGATGGTAGCCACTCTGTTGACTGATTCCCCAGTTTTAGGATCTTTTACCAAGATCGTTACTACCGCTGGAAAAGAGAAGAAGCCTTGATCTGACTACCTAGCCTAGTTGTACGCCAGAGTTTGGTACTACAGGACGCAGAGTATTGGTTTTAAAACTATGTAAATACACTGTACATTGGAAAAACAACATGCTAATTAAAAATGCCGACTTTTCAAAAAACATTCTTATAAATTCAGTTACATTGCAAAGGCAATATGATATTGTAATAACGAAAGCACTGAACAATTGCAAATCAACGACACCACGAAATATTGGAAGGATATTTCAAAGTTATTGCGAAGTTGAGAAAATTTAGAATGATGCAAAAAGGATTAAAATTGTTGATGTAATGCACAACATACCTTGTCCTGATAAAATAAAGTAAAAATTCTCGGCATGGTGACCTTGTCTAATTAGAACACGTTTTGGTGGCACCCTGAAATAAGGATTAGTAGTTATATCTGAAAAAACAATCTCATAATCTCATCTTCCTCGGTTTTGGTATAATACGAAGTTCGTAACAGTTTGATATTGTGAGATGATTGTAAAACGGCTCCAGTAGTAGACATAAAAAGGTATCAATGAATCCAAACCTTGCAAGGACTAGTGGTAGTTTTGTGTTCTGGAGAAGGCTAATCATGGCTCATTGCTTCGCACATTATGTTAAGAGGATGAGCGATGAAACAAGCAGGAGGTAAAGTTTTCCAGTACCAAGGTAGTAAGTGTCTTTTTCGGACCCAGATAGCTATGTATCTTGATTGTGCACACTATGTAGGGAATACGTTGCTTCAGATCAGAGAAATAGATTTGTGTATTTGCGTTGTCACTCACAAGCTTGTAATTCTCACTTACACTTCATAAATGGCGACCTTGCATAGTTTTTCCTGCATGTGTAGAGGGTATTCAGCGAAAGACCGTAAACTTTGTAAACCAAACATAGCCTGAAAAGAAACAGTCTGAATGGATGAAATGGTGGTCGATGGTCATCTTTCTTCATTATTCTGATAGATCTATCTGTAAATGAGTACGGATAATCTGGGAGAGATCAAAGCCAAAAAGTTTGGCGTAAAAGGGTTTCAGGGAGGCGATTGCCCCAAGCCTAGAAATATTGTCTGTGCCCCCACTCGTACCCCTACTTCATTCCCAAGAAATTTCAAATTAGATTTTTTTGCGTTTTTCTCTCAAATTATGTGTCGCACCAAATCAATTCTATTCAAACCGGGGGAACTTCTCGGAACCTTTATGGGAGGTATGCACCTATACCGCTTCCACAGTAAGAATGTCCACCAAACGTTGTCCTCAATTAATCAGTCTTCCCCCTATCTGTACCCCAACTTCCGGGAGGATGGCGCCGCCATGTAGACAGAATCAGAAGAAGTGTTAGTTTCTTATATTGTCCTATCGTACCAACTATGAATAACTTACTGTTTGAATTTGTTCTGGTGTTCGCTGTTCTTTCTCTAAACTTAGTATATGTTTCACCTCACTGCTGATATTGATCTGAAATATATAATCATATTTACTGTCAATAAAAATTCATCAAGAGTCGCATACTGAAGACAGTTGCTCCATGATGGGTCAAGGTCAATCTGTAGGGTCATATTAGGAAGTATACCCAGTCTAAGTATTTTAATTAATATCCTGTGAGAACTCAATTTAACAAAATAACTATATTTTACAAGGATAACAACTTAGGATCACAAAGAATCCTCTCTACCAGCTGGTCCTTTGGCAAACCCCAACCATTGATTTTTCCCGGGTTATCTATACCCATTCACAGCTGGGTTAATTGGAATAAATATTCATCTTCTGCTCAGACGGTTGGTGAGGCTGATTAGTTGGAATTTCATTTGGCGCCTTGAAGATGATGTAGACGACGCTGTTACAAATCAAAAGGAGAACAATAGCTGACCTCTCGTTTAGCTTTAAAATAAGAAGGATCAAACGACAGTCCTTGATTCCTGAGGTTTTCCTCTAGAGTGTCATCAACTTGTGTCAACTGATTCAACGTGGATGGTTTATCACCAGCATCAGATCTAAAAAGGAAAATCAACAGAAATAATTAGAGCCTCACGTCTCACTGTTCACACTCCAAAAATAGAATGAATGGAGTTTAATATCCCATCTTAATCAATCCTACTATTGATACAGGTCTCATGAAATATATGGAACCAAAATATCTTTGATACAAGAATAGTGGCTATTGTCAAGTCAGGGTAAAATACGAAGTTCGTAATAGGTTGACATTGAGAAGATGTATATCGGCATGAACGTTTGTGAATTAGATAACTTACTTTTGAGCGATACATCTTTCTACAACTTTTACTATCATTAGTTTTCTGACAACTTTATAGAACCTCTCTCTAGCCTGAAAATACAATATTATATAGACAGTAGAGTTTATAGCAAGAATGACCCCAGGTAATTTCAGTGACGGCGGCGCAGGTAGGAGACGTTTGAATGACACAATGTCATGTTCTGACTCGGTGGGGAAATCTTTAATTAGAGCCTGAATCATATAAAAATACCTTTTCTGGGAACAATGGTAACTTCATGTTCCTTTTTTATTTATTTCCTTTTTCTTGTGCTATCGCAAAAACCGCAAAATATTACTATTTGTAAATGTCCATATAGGCCACAGGAATATAAGTCTAGTATGTTATAGTCGATACAGGTCTTCATGGAGATAAAAGCGTGCCTTAAAAGCCTGTTAGCAAGCCTATTACAACATAATCATCAGAGGAATGATAGATCTGAAACAATTTGATCTTTAATTTTGATAAGGTCAAGGTCACAAGCAATTCAATTACCATGACGTTGTTCTTCTAAAATTGGCTTAAATTAGTTAATCAGAAAACATGTTATCATCAGCCATCTTTGATTTGTATCCAATTACCTTTTGTGGGTTGGGAATATATTGTTTATTGATTGGTTTGAGAACATGAAACAGGCTGTGTGATCGCCTCATCCGTCTTCTCTCTCGAGCTGTCATGTCCACTTCCGGTTCCAGTTGGTTAGTTTCCGGTAGTAGTGACGTAAAATCGATGGATTTAGAATGTCGAAGAAAACGTACACGATGGGTCTGGTTTGAATTAAGAGATTTATTCAAAGATGGTTCGTTTAATGGAGACGGTGTGGGCGTTGTTGAAACAGTTCCTGAAGTTTCCACACCTCCATTTTCCTCAATAGGGGGCAGTGTAAACACTTCCGCATGCGTCGGGCGACGTTGGAGTGGTTCTGGTCGAAAACTACTTCCGGTGGTTATTTGTGGAAGCGTTGTGTCTGTTTCCACATCACTTGCGTCTGACTCTTCATTTTCATCGGACGGTTGTTCAAGATCAGGATCTGTTACGAAGTCTCTAGATGCTTTGCGACCAGGGCTCGGTGATCTCTTGTCTTCTATAAACAGTTCTGGTTCAATGATACTATAACTATCCAGGGATGGTAGATAGACACTCATGATAGGTAGGTAGATGGCAAGTTAACGTTCGCTTCCAGTCTGATAATAACTTTTATCCTTATATATCTAGTTCAGAAAGAATACTTGTTTTGTGGCTATATACAGTTTAACGCTGTACATCCTCTATTTGACTTACTGTTGCTCGCTTTCCTGTAATCTGTCACATCCTTTAGTTTGACTTACTGCTCCATTGATATATATATATATATATATATATATATGCAGTTAAATCCTTTACACCCTCTAGTTTGACTTAAAAGTCCAATAATAACGACTGTTATATTAATCCATTATCCACGTGGAATCAGCCACATTAATCTGCTATCCAAACCTTTCACTCTATTCAATGAATTGCGAACACTAATAAACGAAACTTTTCAAACGCGTCGGGGGTGAATGGATCGCGTTTAGAAGAATCCAAGTGGCCTGAACTTGTCTATAAATGAATAGTGAAAAATAGTTAAACTAATATTAAAAGCATACCTCGTATAAGGCATGTAATTCTCGGCCAATATTACAAAAAACGTTTTCTTAGTGTGCTGGATACGTTAGGTTAAAGAGTCCAGAATTGCTGAATTACGTCATTTCACTTCAATTAACTCCAATAACACGCTAATCATTTTCAATTAAACCATTTTTCAATACTTCGATCAAAACCAATAAAGTTCACCATCAAAGAAATTAACCGCCATCGATTCCGAGTAAAAACTAATACGTATTGAAAACGTTTTTCCATCTCAATAGTACTGCAGTAATGGAGAGAATTTCTTTTTAAAACACCATTGACGTAAGAGTTCTATTTGAAATAAAATAACTGGAAATTCTTGTATTTAAATATCGGTCACCTGGTTTTTCCTTTTTACGCTCACACGGATATTCTCATATTCATTCCAGTCAACTGCAACTAAGAGTTCAATATTTAAAAAAACAAATAATGAGAATGTCTTAGACTGTTAATGTAATATTCCACTATAAGAGTGACAACATGTTTAAGTTCTGTTTTCATATTTCTTCAAATTAAATCAGAAACATTTTGGATACAGCATCTCCCTTTAGACATGTTTTTCAAACATCACCTCCATCAGTTTTGGAATACTTTATCCAAAAATATTATTTAAACAATGTCCCAAATGACTAAGGTCCCGTAAATATTGTTAATCTGAAATTGGATTATCGATTTAACAAGGATTATCTTCTCTTAAGCGCCGATAGATAATATATCTTACCAAACCCTTCCTAATTCTTTAGAAAAATAAACAAGATTTAGATGGAATTTATTTAATAATTATACAAAACTATTCTCCAGGTGTGGACAAGGTTCTATATTAGGAAGTATTAAACCCCACTCTAGCTGCGATATCGGTTAACTGGAAGCGGACGTTAACATCTACCAATCAACTGGTTTAGATGGAATATTTTTGTAATTATCAAGGAGTTTGTTCTACAACGCGTGGAAAACATGCTCTATTCAGGAATAATTAACACAATCCTTTTTATCTGATAAAAATTCTTCAGTGTCTTATGGGTGATTCGAGCCTGTAACACTAATTTACTAAACAGCTACACCGAGCCTACTAACTAAATTGATTCTTGACTTGAGATCACCGTTAACCGATTATACATCCAATATCACCCAACAAACAATATATGTCACCAATACACAGTCAGGCGATTCCACCGATTATTGAATAAAGTATTGCCCTAGTTTGCGAAATATTGCCTTTTACCACCGTTGCCGTTGCTCAGTTTTCCAATGCTTTAACTTCCACAGTGTAGGTCCAATCCGCAACCATCCAATGTACCCTAGTTTGTTTCGGCGCACACGATACCAAGATCTACAATCGTTTCATGTCAATCTTGAAACCAAATAACAAAACACAGACAAAATCCGACATCATACAATAGAGACTGCAGTGTATAAGCTTAAAGAATCATTGACACCACAACATAAACAGATTCTTAGAAAGATCTCTCTCCGGTAGCTTCTTACTCCAAAACTTTAATACCATCAAATCATTAAAACACAAACTAATTTATCTATATATCATTTAAAAATAGAATATCGAACTCCTTGATAGGAAAGTTGACTTCAATTCAACTTGAAAGAAAGAAAAACCTATGTTCTCAAGTAGTCATAAATAAAAAATGAGCTAATATTATAATTTCTTTAAAGGGGCATTGCTAGTCTTTTTGTTAGAAATTAAAGTCACGCGTGTCAGATATATTAGACAGTTATACACGAATAATAATCTCAGTGGAATAGTGCATCGGATGGAAGCTGCCATATCAACAAAATCACTTATGTGCACTCTCTGAAAGGTGTCGAGTTTCAGTATATTCAAGTTGAAGAAGCCCTTTAAGAAAGTAAGAGTTATACAAATAGGCCCAGACTACAATGGAGGTTTTTAGAACAACGAATAAAGTAGAAAATCGTGTTGATCATTCATATGTCACCCATTAATTTCAAATATATTGAAAATATCGATCATTACATTGGAGTTACCGGTCTTATCTTATTTCTCAAGCCTTGTTCGATAATGCCATAATCTGAATCGTAAACAGCCATTTAAGCTGCTTCAGATGGTAAAAACGTGGTTTAACACCGAAAAATTAACAAGCTTTGTCGTAGAATTTTTGTTGTGAAATAATGAAATAGTTTGTTTGATAGTGCCTGTCTGAAAAACTTCCTATTTTCTGAGTGATTTACAGCGATCACCACAAGCGAATGGTTGCAAATAAGAATCCGGATAATCGCATGCAACTGATTTGTGAGTTGCGTTCAGAACTTATAGCCACTTTCATTATTCGCAACCATGGTAACTGGTAATCGTCATGGCACACTGGAAAAATGGAAATCACTGAGTAGAAATCCAAACTATTGTAGGGAAATGGCGTTGAGAGATGAGAGCAGTTTGATAGAGCCTGCCTGAAAAAAATATCCTATTATCTGTATCAATAGAGTCGAAAAATATTTGTATTTTTACATAGGGCCTACAAATGTTGGTTTCTTGTCAGAATTGGTATTAATTGATTAAACTGGTTAACAGACATTGACTATGCTTATCATCGACCGAAACATCTGCCTCGAATTCAGCCTCCTCAACACCGTTAGCACAGGCTGGCATTGAGGTAGATTTTTCGGACTATTTAGAGGCCAGCTTGATCCTCGTGTTGCCTTATAAGTAAATACTGTTTTAGCCAGATTATTTGAAAGTTAGCTAGTCATGGGAGTATATCTCGTGATAACATTATTATTATACGAATAACAAAATACCGAGATATTTTATATCTTTCTCTACACAGAAATAAAATATAGACCTTTATTCGAAAACAATCCACAAAAACGTGGTGTACTCCGACTGAACGGGCCACTTGATCGTATTTCGGCTTTCCATTGTTAGCTATTGTCCTCATTCCTTTTCATTTGATCAGACAAAGCTTGTTTTATTTCGACCATATTACTTTCACTTCAGTAGGTCAACAGAATGGTAAGACGACTATTTTTGGTCATTTGGTTGAAAACTATTTAGATTACAATATCAAATATACCTCAAATAGAGTCAAGTGGGTTCACGAGTTAAAATGAGTTCAAGAAAGATTTGTCTAATGTTCATATACGAATGGGTAGGGACATCTCCAAGTCTAGCCATCCCAGAAAAAGATTTGGCTTGAACGACATTTGTAACAGCCTCTACAACAGCAGTGTTACACAAGTCAAGTCAAGCCAAGCCATTGTGCAACAAAGGAAATATTAGCCTATTTTTTTCATTGTTTTCACCTGTAATCAGTTGTAATCACTGATAATCATTTAAAATCACTAGTAATCATTTGTAATCAATAGTAATCAGCTGTAACCAATAGTAATCAGTTGTAATCACTAGTAATCAATTGTTACCACTAGTAATCAGTTATAATCACTAGAAATCAGTTATAATCACTAGAAATCAGTTATAATCACTAGAAATAAGTTATAATGACTATTACTCAGTTATAATCACTAGTAATCAGTTATAATGACTATTACTCAGTTATAATCACTAGTAATCAGTTATAATCACTATTAATCAGTTATAATCACTAGTTATCAGTTGTAATAACTAATAATCAGTTCTAATAACTAATAATCAGTTCTGTAATCACTAGTAATCAGTTATAATCACTAGTAATCAGTTATAATCACTAGTAATCAGTTATAATCACTAGTAATCAGTTATAATCAGTAGTTATCAGTTGTAATCAGTAGTTATCAGTTAAAATCACTAGTAATCAGTTGTTACCACTAGTAATCAGTTATAATCACTACAAATCAGTTATAATCACTAGTAATCAGTTGTAATCACTAATAATCAGTTATAATCACTAGTTATCAGTTGTAATCAGTAGTAGTCACTTGTAATCACTAATAATCAGTTACAATCACTAGTTATCAGTTGTAATCCGTTATAATCACTAGTAATCCGTTATAATCACTAGTAATCCGTTATTATCATTAATTATCACTAGTAATCAGTTGTAATCACAAATAATCAGTTGTAATCACAAATAATCAGCTGTAATCACAATTGTAATCACTAGTAATTTTTTTACCGATGGTACCTTTGTCAAAGTTAACATTTCTAGTATATCTGACGGGATTATACTTTTTTGCAGTTGTAATCACTAATAATCAGTTAAAATCACTAGTAATCACCTGTAATCACTAGTAATCACCTGTAGTCACAAGTAATCACCTGTAATCACTAGTAGTTGTACTCACTACTAAACAGCGATAATCACCTGTAATCAGTATTAATCACCTATAGTCACTAGGAATCAGTTGTAATCACTAGTAATCAGTTGTAATCACTAGTAGTTGTAATTACTTGTAAACAGTTAAAATCACTAGTAATCACTAGTAATCACCTGTAATCACCTGTAATCACCTGTTTTAATCAAAAGTAATCAGTATTATTTAATTCACCCCATTGGAGCAGACAAAAAATTAAATCAACTTACCATTCTAGATCTAAGCTCTTTATTAGCTTTGATCTTATGTCCTCTTGAGGGAGCAATGGAACCTCCTCGTTTCCCGCTGGCTAGATACGCACTGGACATAGACGTCCTGCTGACACTATGTACCCGAAGATCGTTCGATGATGCTTCGGCTTGTTCCGGAGACGTACCGGAAATCTCCGAATCCTGATTCGGTTTATCATCGGTGGTTTCGATTTCTGGAATTGTTTTGAGATCTGGCGAGGTGCCTTTGTCTTCCGGTTCCGATGATGTGCCTTCTTCTTCTTCCTCCTCCTCCTCTTCCTCTTCCTCTTCTTCTTCCAAGATCTCGTCGATCTCCAGGTAATCTTCCGTGTAATCCTGCTCATCGATCGGTAAGACATACCGGTATCGTCTGAAAGGCAAGAGTTTTAGTTAGATGACTTTTTCCGGATGGGCTCACCATCCGTTTTACCAATAGTAACTTTGTCAAAGTGAACGCAGTTCTAGTACTTCGGAAGACTATTTAAATATATTCAGGGCCCAAATCAAAGCCCCCGTTTGGCGAACCATGGCCTTAAAGGTTAGTGAAATTTGGGGGAGGGGGTCGGGTGGATAGTACTTTATATTCTATTCATTGAGCTGAAGAACAACATATTGCCTACCTGTAGAGTTCAACCTCGGCAGGATTTCTTTTCTTTTTCTTCACTTTCTTCTGTTTTGTCTCTTTTTTGGCAGCTATAAATCTAGGAAAGGGAAACATAACTTTTTATGTGTATCGGGAACACAGATAGTATCAATTTACACAATCTCACTTTTCAATAATAAAATATTTTCACTGTTAAAATACGACTGTGCTTCTAGCAATTCCACTAAAACTAAACATTTCGTTTCGCAATATCATAAGCAGTTTTTGCGATAGTGACTTCATATAACGTTTAGCTTCAGTTGATTTCAATAACCACAGACGCCTGACTGAAATAAGTCATCTTTCCTCATTATTCCAGTCGACCCAGCCCTAAATGATGCTGAACAAGTCATCATATATAAACCAAGAATAATAGAACTAACTTACCTATTTAGTTGTGTGAGGTTACTTCCGCCATAATTTTCCGGTCTTGAATAGTAATCCAAGTCTGTTTCCGGCGGATCAGACATTTTTATTTTGTTCTGAGTCTTTGATGCGAATTCCGTGACCCTTGCTAAACTTACAATTTTTCGCTACAATGTTCACAATAGAAATAACGTCATAATAAACGTAACGTCATAAAAGATGGACGAACTTCCGCTAACGATTTTGACGTAATGCCTACTGTTTGATTTTGTCATGGTGGTGACTGAAACTGTTTTCAATTTCAAGTTGGTATAAATAATTTTTCAGCAAACTAATCTAATACTAGGGAACCATATTAGTTAATGAATAGATGTGTTTATAATAATATTCTATAATTATAACAACATTAGCTATGTGAAATCTTCAAAAAGGATGCCGAATTAACAAATTCAGTCTAGTAAGTGTGTGCTTATTCTTTCTGGAACATCATTGTATATCTAAGAGAAGATTGACAGATACTATACTGATATCGTAATTTAGATAATCTAGAACCTGTATACGTCTTCTGGAAGTCCATCCACTACCATCCAGTCTGTAAAACAGTTAGTAAACTTGGAATTTTAGATTGTGCTTATTCCATGTGAAACACTTTCAATTCAGATAGAAATCAATCACAAGAAGGTAAAAACATTTAGCTCTGAATATAGTAATCCCGCAAATACTGTAAAGAATCAACCCAGGCTAGTGGATAAAGTACATATTGAAATATCATATGAATATTACAGTGATAATAACAGCCAATCCAACATCAGATAACGGTTATCCAAATGGTAAAAACAGCCAATCCAACATCAGATAACGGTTATGCAAATGGTAAAAACAGCCAATCCAACATCAGATAACGGTTATCCAAATGGTAAAAACAGCCAATCCAACATCAGATAGCGGTTATCCAAATGGTAGAAACAGCCAATTCAACATCAGATAGCGGTTATCCAAATGGTAGAAACAGCCAATCCAACATCAGATAACGGTTATCCAAATGGTAAAAACAGCCAATCCAACATCAGATAACGGTTATCCAAATGGTAAAAACAGCCAATCCAACATCAGATAACGGTTATCCAAATGGTAAAAACAGCCAATCCAACATCAGATAACGGTTATCCAAATGGTAAAAACAGCCAATCCAACATCAGATAACGGTTATCCAAATGGTAAAAACAGCCAATCCAACATCAGATAACGGTTATCCAAATGGTAAAAACAGCCAATTCAACATCAGATAGCGGTTATCCAAATGGTAGAAACAGCCAATTCAACATCAGATAGCGGTTATCCAAATAGTAGAAACGGCCAATTCAACATCAGATAGCGGTTATCCAAATGGTAGAAACAGCCAATTCAACATCAGATAACGGTTATCCAAATGGTAAAAACAGCCAATTCAACATCAGATAGCGGTTATCCTAATGGTAGAAACAGCCAATTCAACATCAGATAACGGTTATCCAAATGGTAGAAACAGCCAATCCAACATCAGATAACGGTTATCCTAATGGTAAAAACAGCCAATCCAACATCAGATAACGGTTATCCAAATGGTAGAAACAGCCAATCCAACATCAGATAGCGGTTATCCAAATGGTAGAAACAGTCAATCCAACATCAGATAGCGGTTATCCAAATGGTAGAAACAGTCAATCCAACATCAGATAGCGTTATCCAAATGGTAGAAACAGCCAATTCAACATCAGATAGCGGTTATCCAAATGGTAGAAACAGCCAATTCAAGATAATCAATACTGGTAATAAAAAATTTCAGATAACACAAACAGTAAATCGAACAACAGATAGCGATAGTCAAAAATGTATTCCAGAAAGCAGAAACAGTCAATCCAACATCAGATTCCTATAACCAAAGGCGCTTGTATTTGATGTTAATCGAAATGGCGCTAGTATTTATTCCAATGATGGTAACCCAGATAGCAGAAACAGACAATCTAACAACAGGTAGTGATACTGCAAAAACGGCTTATCCAACTACAAATTTCGGCTAGCTCCTGTATTTTTTTTTATCTAATTCGGTAATACAGATAGCAGAAACAATCAAACCAACATCAGAAGGTTAGATTGTGGTAATCCAAACGGCGCTCATATTTAACCCAATGGTTACCAGGAAATCTGAAATAGAAGAATATTTAGGGTGTGAGATAGTTGTGTTTCGAGACGATTATCTCCTTTAGTTTTAAGTATAAAGTCAATTAAGATATAGAAAGTATATAAACACAGTCATTTATCATTTCATATCATATATCTTTCATATCTAGGGGCGGACCGAGTGAGTACCTTTCATATAGAGTGGAGGACCGAGTGAGTATCTTTCATATGTAGTGGCGGACCGAGTGAGTATCTTTCATATGGAGGGGCGGACCGAGTGAGTATCTTTCATATGGAGGGGCGGAACGAGTGAGTATCTTTTATATAGGGGGGCGGACCGAGTGAGTATCTTTCATATGGAGGGGCGGACCGAGTGAGTATCTTTCATATGGAGGGGCGGACCGAGTGAGTATCTTTCATATGTAGGGGCGGACCGAGTGAGTATCTTTCATATGGAGGGGAGGACCGAGTGAGTATCTTTCATATGGAGGGGCGGACCAAGTGAGTACCTTTCATATGTAGGGCGGACCGAGTGAGTATCTTTCATATGGAGGGGAGGACAGAGTGAGTACCTTTCATAGGGCAGGGACGGTCTATTGGGTAATTATCTTTCATAGGACAGGGGCGATCCAAAGGGAATAGTACCTTTCATAGGGCAGGGGCGATCCAAAGGGAATAGTACCTTTCATAGGGCAGGGGTGGTCTATTGGGTTATTATCTTTCATAGGGCAGGGGAGGTCCCAAAGGAATAGTACCTTTCATAGGGCATGGGCGATCCAAAGGGAATAGTACCTTTCATAGGGCAGGGGTGGTCTATTGGGTAATTATCTTTCATAGGACAGGGGCGATCCAAAGGGAATAGTACCTTTCATAGGGCATGGGCGATCCAAAGGGAATAGTACCTTTCATAGGGCAGGGGTGGTCTATTGGGTAATTATCTTTCATAGGGCAGGGGAGGTCCCAAGGGAATAGTACCTTTCATAGGGCAGGGACGATCCAAAGGGAATAGTACCTTTCATAGGGCATGGGCGATCCAAAGGGAATAGTACCTTTCATAGGGCAGGGGTGGTCTATTGGGTAATTATCTTTCATAGGACAGGGGCGATCCAAAGGGAATAGTACCTTTCATAGGGCATGGGCGATCCAAAGGGAATAGTACCTTTCATAGGGCAGGGGTGGTCTATTGGTTAATTATCTTTCATAGGGCAGGGGAAGTCCCAAGGGAATAGTACCATTCATAGGGCAGGGGCGGTCTCTTGGGTAAGTTTCTTTCATAAAGCCTGGATGGTCTCTAGATTAAGTTTCTTCATAAGGCAGGGGTGGTCCCAAAGGCATAGTACCTTTCATAGGGCAGGAGCGGTCTATTGGGTGTACTTTCTTTCAAAGTGTAGGAGCAGCCCCTTTGGTGTATTTTTTTCATATGGTAGGGGCGGTATCTTTGGTTATTGGGGTAGGGCGGTCTCTAGGGATAGTGCCTATCATAGGACAGTCCGTCCATGAGATTAGTACCTATCATGATCATATGAAGCCTGTTGGTTGATGGTTAGGGTATAGATCTGTCCAATTAGAGAGCAGAGATGAAAAAGGCCAAGTCTGGAGATCAACTTGCGGTTTTCAACAATTGTCGTTTATGCATTTTATTTCATCTTTTCAAATAAATATCTCCTGTTTTGGAAATGCTTCCCATTTCCCAGCATTCTATATATCCTATTGTTTTTCTTCCATTTTTTACATGATGCGTAGGCCTACCTTTATCGTGGCATAATCCATGCATCCCACTGACTGAATGTTGTCTTCAGACGTTCAGTTATCACATGATTCAATCTGAAAACCTTCACTCCATATATCCCATGGAATGGACTGTTTCTTGATCTGTGGTCTGTTTAGATAATCCGGAGATTAACCGAATCTAACCGAGTTATTATAATGTTGTTCAGTCAGTGATTGTAAATAAACTATATTTAGGTATAAAACAATAGGATATAGATTTATTTAGAAGTGTCATAATTATTGTGGTGGGTCAGATTTACCAAGCGCCCAGTGGCGTTTCGACGAAGAAAAGACCCGGGTTTGGCCCCCACTTTCTTATTATTATACATAGGGAAAGAATTACAATTAGCCCCTCTTTAAAATTATGTGGCCCCGACTTGGCCTCTCAATCAATGATTCCTAGAAACACCATTACAAGCGCCGTGTTGCTGTAAGAAATATAGTCCAAATTGTACCCAACTTCATTTCTAACAAGTTTCAAAATATGATATTTATATATTTTTTCCCCAAAATATGTACCAGAATGCACTTAACACTTTTTATCTTTGAGACTTATCTGATATAAATTTATTGCCATGTTTGATGGTAAGTTGGTAAAACAATAAAGTAATTAATAGTATCTAGAGACAGTAAGTTAGTAGAATATTGACCATTGACTCGCTACTTCAACTACCATATCTTGTTTAATTAAGCAGATAAATCTGGTTTCTATTTGTCTCATGATTAGTACCTAGCTTTCTAATTAAAGAGGGTAGTGAGTTAGAGGCTTCCTCGCTAACCTGAAGGTCCAGGTTTCAATCCCGGCATAGATTGAGATAATACATTGGGATTTTTCAACCCGGTTTCCCCCTGTCCGTAATGCAGGTAAGAGGGGCTTACATGGAAAAACCGTCTAGTCGTTCGGATGAGGCCCCATGTGCTACAGGCTGTGCACGTTAAAGATCCCTCGACAGTTGGAAATGCCGCTGTCCTGGCAAAATTTCCCTCATTGCACCCTGAACGGCGTTGCCTGTCTTCATTAGCCCACAAGGTGAAGAAAAGTAGGACGTAAAACTCCATTCATTTCATTTCTAATTTAAGATAGGAACTTAACTGATATGCAACGATAAACTTCTGTATCTTCACAATATCAAGTCTTAAGTCTAGAATTAAATCCATGGATAACAAAATACAATCTGTAGAAACTAATTAGCTCAACTTTACTGGCCGTGTCATCGGGAATTGCCGAGAAAAATGGAAAAAGAAAAAGAAAATCAAACTATTAAAAAACTAAACAAATTCTACAACTGTTACATAAAAGTTAGATACCTGTTAAATTGAATCCTTCTAACACGACATTCTGATGAAAAATGATAGTAATATGACGAAGATTTTTATAATTTATTAGAAAAATGGTGATTAATTGAACCGTTATGAAGAATTTAGTCCATAGACTGAGTGTAATTGACTGTAAATTGATTACTTCCCTTTGTTATTGAATGGTTTAATGAAACAAGGATATCATTTTCTATAATCATCTCCTTTTATAAAGCTGAGATCTTTCTGATTTAGATTAGAATCAATAAGCGTGGGCCTTCAAGGGATGTCGCTATCTGTAGGCTATCAATTTTCAGAGTGGATGTCTACAGTTACTTTCAGATTCAGCGAAAATTACACAAGTACAATAACTCATAATGAAATATTTCTGATTTGCATTTTGAATAAATGTGGGCCCTCAAAGGATATCACTATCTGCATCTTTTCAGAATTCAGAATCTACCAATCCCATAAGCTTCAATGGGAAATTACAAGAGGGTAATAACTCATGAATAAGTATTCTCGATTTTAATGAATTCTTTCTGATTTAGATTTAGAATCTATAAGCGTGGGCCTTCAAGGCATGCCGTCGTCTAAAAATTTACTTGACCAGCGGGAAAAAGCTATCTCAAGCACTTTTCAGAATGTAGGTCTACAATTCTCATCAGATTCAACGAATAATTACACAAGGGTGATAACTCCTAAGCAAATATTTTTCGATTTTGATTTTAATTTGTTTTCGATATGACCCATCCTATGCAGTGGCGGAGACAAAAGGGGTAGGGGGTGGCAGTGGGAGCAGCCCCCCCCCCCCCCCCCCTCGCAGCCACAAAAGCAAGTTTTTCGGGCAATTTAAGATATCTCGCCCCTCTTTCGGACGTAAACCTGGCGCCGCCACTGATCCTGTGCTGATACAATTTCATTTTTTGTCAAAATCTTTTAAAGGGACAGTTTCGCCATCCGTTTGCACAATCGTACCTCGGATTTTTTTTGCTCAACCTATCATTAATAGTGTTCACAGCTCACAGTTAATATAAGACGATTCGTCTTTTTTGAGACTCTGCCATATATATAGGATTATATATGAATAGAAAGTGTAATTCCAAGTTATTTGTGAAGGAATAATGCGATTTTTGTTATTTCTAAAATATATATTTAAGACTCAAATCAATTAGAAAATGGCGACTGTCCCGAATTGTGCTTCTAGAGTATTATAACATGTCAATTATTCAGCAGATATCTATGGGTTAGATCGACCACTCGGATTTATGATGATAAATAGTGAAAATGTCCTTACATGACCCTAAAATGTCAGGTCGTTTGAGGTCATCATTAAAAATTAAAATTTTAAATTCGGTTTCTTAATATGTCGATAAATCATAGTCTAACAGCTTGTAGGTAATAATCTCTATTGGAGGCGTCTACAGATCATGAAATTTAAAATACATAAAACTATAATCTTTAAAACTGTCTTAATGACCTGACTCAAATACTTCTCCAAATTTCTCTTTCCAAATCCTGTAAATCAGGGATTTTCAACCTTTCTTTCACCTCTTACAGGATCCTTGATCGATTGCATTACCCCCCTTACGTCTATAAATCCCTTACTATTTCGTGATTATAAAATTTATATAACATACCTTAATGACCTTTTCAAAACACTTCTCCCCCAATGAATATCGCATCAATTTGCCACCACCCCCCCCCCCCCCCTTTAAAATTTAGATGACTTAAATGATGACTTGTTAAGTCGCTATAGTTGAGCCCTTTTCAAAACAAAAAAATTTCCCACACCCTGGGCTAGCTTCAGGGCTGGCAGTAACCTTCAATTTTTGCATCACATTGACTCAAGTCATTCGTCATTAAATTGGTTGCCTAGCAAGATACGCCCACGTTTTGATACATTTTCAGTATATCAAGGGCAGTCACCTATCTGTGTCAAATCATACCAAAAATCTAATTTGTGCAAGATATTGTTGATTTAAACAAAGACACATTATTTAATAAAATTCTGACATAAACTGTCACCTCTATCTCTAACAAATTTTGACGTGTTTTTACCAGTCATGGGCAATAACTCAAAATTATCAAATTTAATCTTGACTAAGATCTCATCATTTTAAATATTCTCACCAAATTTCATTGAACATGAATGAAAACTGTAGTCTCTATTGTGTTCACAACCAAATTTCGACGCGTTTTTCATAAATCAAGGGCAATAACTCAAAAACCGTTCATCGAAAGATAGCCAAATTCGAACTTGTCCAAGATCTCATGAATATAAATGATCACACCAAATTTCATTCACATCAGATAAAAAAAAACTCTTGTCTCTATTGCGTTCACAAGCCTATTGTGGACGGACCGACCGACCGACGGACCGACGGACGGACAGGGGCGACGACAATATACGACAACATAATAATGTGGGCGTATAAAAATGTAAATAAATGTAAAGATTTCAGTGTCAGAGAGTTGATAACACAGTTTTGTCGTATGTATTCATTTCTTCATTCAAGGGTTTTAATTCATGTCGCAACATTATAATTTTCACATTAACATAAAAATCATTCTTCATTAAAATAAACATAACTGAGAAACTATACGCCAAAACTTTCATGAATTCGCTTTTCATTACGGTTAATTAAATCTTACTAGCAGATGACCACCATTAGCACCATTAGAGGGACAGTTGAATATGTTAGACAAGGAATTCATGGTGAGGACCACTACTGTTTTTACTGCACCGATCAGGCGAGATGCTGGTGGAGATCTCATTAAAGATTTTATTAGCAGATTTTATGGCTAATGTTTAAACTATAAAAAGGGATTAAGATCTCATCTGAATTAAAATCTGATTTTACAGTTAGGATCATTCAAGATGTTTCTACGATTGGTAAGTTTTTTGTACTTAATTTCTGGGAGATATTTGTATTAGAGGTTGTTTAGCGAACTTGATGGTGCAGAAAAGTAGGACGAAAAACTCCATTCATTTCATTTTTAGCAAACTTGGCATTAGTTTGCGAATTTTTGGGTGTGCGGTTCAATGGCGGCCAAGTACAAGTACAGGAGGGCACCCATAGAAAAATGGTTTGTAGGACGAGATTTTGATTAACGGAATTGTCTTTCTCGTACGTATTTTTATTGCACCCCAACTGTATCCCCACTGTATTTACAACAAATTTAAAAATATGATTTTTTTGACATGTTTTCGTCAGAAATATGTGTCAGAATTCACCAAACTAATTTTATTTTTCAAAACATTTCTTGGGCATGAACCCTGACAGACGCTTCAGACTGGTGCTTTTGCGCTTCCACTGAACTGCTGAATTCTAAATCTCAAATCAGTCTGCCCTCTATTTGTACCTCTAGTCCCGCAGGTTGGCATAGCGACTGGTACAGTTCCGTTAGAGCAGAGGTACTTTAGGTGTTTCAATCTGTCAGCTTTTCAATACGTATTAATAGAAGAATATCTTTAAATGTGTCAGCTTAAGACAGGCTAAAGATCCCTCGACTGTTGGAAATTGAAAAAGAGCAGGCTAATGTTGCTGTCCTGGCAAAATTTCCGTCATTGTACACTTCATGCGTTGCCGTCTTCATTAGCCCACATGGTGCAGAAAAGTAGGACGTAAAACATTCATATCATTTCATTTTCATTAAGCTAAATAATTATGAATTGTTTTTAGTGCTTTGAACCGCCAAAGGAAAATGGTTTAATGATAGTTTGTGCATAAAAGATAGTTATGAAGTATTGCAAATTTGAACCATAGTAGAGAAATTTTTTCGTATTACAACCAGGTTTCTTTTCAGTTTTAAGCTCTACCCCTCTGTCTTCATTACCCAAAAGTACCATACGTATTTTGAAGACTATTGTCCTATTTGTACAATTTTTTATTTTTTATCATTTTTTAATACTTTTAAACCAAATACTTTCAGTTGATGTTAACGAGCCTGGTAATGGTATGTTTATCACAGTCCAGTAAACAATGCTATGAATTTATAGATTTAACCCAGAACTATCAACTCAAATCAGCTACTCAAGATTATCCAAGGTAATCTGAAATACTTTCTTTTATAATTTCCCACGTTCAACAGAACGTCAATATAATATATTTACTCTCCATTGTAATCCAAAAAGTTTTATACCATATTCCCGTTCTAATGACGTTACTGTTAACCAATCAAACAATGTCATATTTTACCCGTTGTCGAATTGTGGGATATCGAAATCCATATTACCATGGCGTTCGTGTCAATTGAACCATATAAGACACTTCAGATAGTTTCTTATATACGCATATTATGTTACAGAATTGAACCACACAAGTTCCCATTGGCCATGATTATATTCTCATAGGTTTAAGTCTAAAATGTTGCTTGCTATCCCCCGCCCTTTTTCAAAATCTTAGAACCCCGATTCTAAACAACCTATGTCAGGGTTAGCATGGTGTATCACAATGTAAGCATTCAACACTAACGTCAAAATTTCTTATAGTAATGATATTTGTATTCTTGAAGGAACGTGGCCGGTAATTGATAGAAGAATAGAGTAATCACAAGATATGGTTAATATCTAAAAACCAAATACATTTATCTTCATATTCGGTCATTTCAGAGAAGCTATTGTTAAAGAGTATGGAATGCGTCAGGAATTACAGGAACTTCTTAATAATATTCTGGAACCCATTCCAACAGAGCCTTCCATGACAGTTCCTGGAAGCACAGCTCGTGCACCTATCGACAGAAGGGTTCTAATGACACCACAACCAAAAGTATTTTTTGATCCGAAGAATATTCCTATGCCTTTCGCTGGAGCCAACCCCAATGGCCGAATCAACCCTTATCTGAAGAATGCGATACCTTTTCAACGACCATTGGCACCAAATACTTTCCAACAGAGATCGCAGAACAATCCAGCCATGCCACTGAGACCTTTAAATCCACTGGTGAACGGACCAATTCCAACCCGGATTCCAGTTACACCAAGAGCTCAAGCAGGAGTCATCCCATTCGCTCAACTTCAGGCCCCTAAAGCTGCTCCGACCCCGATGTATGCAGGACATCAAGTGCCGAACCTTGCACGCTTCGGTTTTCCAGGTGCTCGCAGAAATCTACCACTAGGGTATCCAAGAAGAGCCCCAGTGCCTCCTGGTCGACTGGCGCCGGTTGTCCCACAACAGAGTAAATTTACCATTGAACAATTGAGACAGATGGCCATGCCATACAAAAGGTCCTATCAAAGGTGAATATTGCCATTATTTACATGTAGTTTATCTGATTTGACTCGTATTGAGTTAAGGAATAATGATAATTCGCCAATGCAGTCATATGATAAAAAACAATACGATCTTTGAATCCGTAAACCAATGTGCAACAAACGACACTGTATAGAAATATTTCTGAATTATTGTTCACTCGATTTGATTGTTTTCTGCTTTTTTCGTGGAATTTCTCGTAACACGTTTGGTTTTTGTTTCCAACAATACAAATTATTGTACCGTATTTATATCATGTACCTTGCAAATCGCAAACATATAAACATTACTTACCTGTACCAATACATAATTTATCAAAAATTAAATGATAAATAAATAATAACACAACCCATGTTTTCGGTAGTTCCTATTTGTAAGAAAGTTACATTTTTCTTTGACCAACGTTTGCTTTCAAAAGTCTTTTCCTGACCAAAGACTCATTTGTTGCCTTTGACAAATTTCTGTTTTTGTTTCAGATACGGCGGTTATAATCCCTATGCCAGAAGTTATCGATATGGTCGACAATCTGGACATTTTATAAGAAAACGAGCTGCTGACAGAATTTCACCTAAATATACCTACAAACAATTACTACAGTTGGCCAATCCATTTAACAGGTGAGACTGTAATTCGTGGTTTCTAAAACAACATCAGCGTTTGTCGGAGAAGCCGAACCGACTTGGAGCAAACAGATGAATCCATACAGCCTAATGATACCATTTATTCATTATAACACATGAAGTTAACACGTGAATATTATACAAATCCCTTACCTATAGCTGTTTAATTCCAGATACGGAGGAGCCGCAAGATACAGCAACCAGGGATATCGCCCTCCCAGACGAGTTGGTTATTACAGCCCAGGGTCCACGAGGGCCCAAAACTACCTCTCTTACAATGGATACAACCCCTATAGAAACAACTTTAACCCCTACACTGCCAGAAGATACACCAACCTCAGAACCAGGCTTCCAATTGGTACCAGATTCCGACCTGTCAACCAGTTCCCAGTCCGACCCCAATATTCACAGAGTTCCAGGCGGTTCCAGTATGGTCAACCACAATACAGAACCAGACGGTAAGGGATTTAACATCTTGGTAATACACGGTGTTCTAGGCTAGGTGTGCTTACTTCCACCAGAACACCAGATATGATTCTAAGTGTAAACTGTTCTTTTCGCCAGTTTCATCAGACTATGATTTTTGATTAAGGCCAGGACCAATTTAATGGGTTAATGTCACTATTTTAAGTCCTTTAAAGCTGACAGAAATGATCTCAAGGTTGCTCAATGATAGATACTGATTTTCTGAGGTTACAACCGTTTCCAGATCATTCTATCAGTATCAACCAGAGAAGACAATCGGGAAAGCAGACAGCAGAACCTCTTGGCCCCTTTCTATTCCCAAACCTACCCTTCGCAAACAACTCCTTGCAGCCCCGAAAGCAAGTTTTTCGGGCAAAAATCTCATAACTAGGTTAGAAATTTGGGCAATCGCAGATATTTCGTCGCCCCTTCCCCTCGGACGTAAACCTGTCTCCGGCACTAGTACAGAGCTCTCGACCTTCTTTTTTGTTTATCTCTACCTTCCTACCCTTCACAAATAACCCCTTGTAGGCCTACCCTACTCCTATATATTAATTAGTGTAGAAATGTTGCTCAGTAGCTGATCATTCTTGTCATAAGCTACCGGCTCTGTTTCCAGATCTATCAGAATCAACCCGAGTGAAGACAATCAGATAAAACCTATCAGTGAATCCTGCCCCACTACAATGATGTCTATACAACAGTTTACAGGGCTCGGAGGTAACTGCTGGGTGCTAGAGCCAGAAAAACAGATGGTAGATTATGCTGTGTGTGGGTAAGTCACCTAGATGTTCTGCACCTCTGAGAGGTATTTAAGGCATTTAATTTAAATTGCGTGCAAGTTTCGATAATTTTTTACCTGTACACCCAGTATCCCTTGCAGTTATGCGTTTATTAAGTTTAGATGATTATTATCATTTCACCCTAGTTTCCCTTAAAATTTCATTGCAGAAAAGAGGGAGGTAAAAATCCATATAATTTACATTTTGTTATTTCAGACATGACGACTGTTCTAACTGTAAATCTGAAGACGAGGATGATAAAATGAGTAAATGTGTGGAGAACTACCACTGGACCCCGGTCTGGTCCTACTGTGATGTTTTACCCCAGGGGAAGAAGATACAGGAGGTGGAACTCTACCTACCCAAATCCTGCAGCTGTAAGACCTTCCAATGTTGATGGGAACCAATGTATTTTTTATATGGGTTGGGTTATTTCAATGTGGTCTGATTATGGGTTGGGTTATTTCAATGTGGTCTGATTATGGGATGGGTTATTTCAATGTGGTCTGATTATGGGTTGGGTTATTTCAATGTGGTCTGATTATGTTTATATTATAATAATAAAGATTTTTGTACTGAAATTGAGTCTTCGATCTCCATAGGATTCTGGCTCCAGTGGGAGCACCCTTCTTCCCATGCTTAATCCCTCCCTCACATGTAGTAACTATTTAGTAGTGTAGGATGTTGCCGGCGACCCTGTTTTTAATTTTGAAACACCTAAAAATGTTCAAATGCCTACTGTTTCGTTGTTGAAAGCTATTGGCGGTCCCCTGACTCAGAAGATAAGATAAGATAATGTTTAAAATAGTTTTATTCCCATCATAATATCTTTAGACAATCTCCCTGAGAATACAACAACATATATTAATATAACTATATACCTATACTATATCATTACAACATCTTATAATAATTTCATCTGAACATGTCACATAATGACCTTGTTATGTGACCTCCTAGCTTCTAAATCATGACTTCACACTTCATAATTTCATTAGAACATTTGAAACCATGACTTCATGCTCTCACTGTAAGAATTTCATCACAACCTTTGAAATGGTGACTTCACATGTTCATATCATTAGAATTTAATAAGAATATTTGAAACCATGACTTCACATGATAATGAAATACATTTGTCATTGTGGCTTCATCGCTCAAAAAATTTCAATATAATATTTCAAATCATGACTTCACATGTTCTTACATCATTAAAATTCCATCAGAACATTTGAATTCACGATTTCAGAAACTTATTCAATTAAATGCTCAGAATTCCTTTTGGATATAGAGATATTGAGATAATGAGAAAAGGCTTCACTTCTAAACTGAGATTTCAAATTCCATCACTGTTATCCTCACAACCAACCAACCAGTGTTTTATTATATAATAACTAAGAAAGATAACTCAACTTAGACTGAGTTAAATGTAATTTGACATGATTTTGGCATTGTTGTTATTCTATATTAAAGGGACAATATCTCTTAGAATGAACATTTTTTATGAAAATTTATATCTTCATAGTTTCATCTAAGACAGAATTCCTCTATAATCCAATAAATCTATAAAGTTAAATATTTATCCTTAAAACTATGTAATTATAGAAAAAAGATTAAGGATTTATTGGATTATACGGGGATTCTGTTGTATATTAATTACACCAGGTCCACTAATGAATATATATTAGCCAAGTTTGAGAAGTTATTTATGTTCATTCTAAGAGGTAGTGTTCCTTTAAGAGAATATTCAATTGCATTGTAACACATCTGATATTTGGCTCAATAAAATAAAATTAAATTTGATTAAAACCAGGGATCTTATTCTTGTAAATTTAACTTGAGACGATTTTAATATTCCAGTCATCTGATTGGTCAATCACTAAAATTGAGGGTGAGCAGCCAGATTAATGAAATATTACGGTTACCAGTTTGCTTGTTATGTTCAAAACTAAATATTAACTATGTTAAATCCACCTTATTTTTAATCTGGCAGATCTCTTTATTTGTGATCTTGGTCAGTGCTTTACATAGAAGTTTTTTAGGGATTTTTCAATCTTAATACTAACATTATCATTTATATTTTTGAGAATAAATTCAGTTTTGAGACTGAACAGTTTAGGCCTATTAATAATATAATTTATAATATAATTAAGTAATATATGTTAATATGGATTTTTCTTAAACTTTTGGCACATTTTTACATTTCACGATAAACAGTGTCATTAACAATCATCAAGTAGGGAGACAGTCGCCTAAATATTGATAAAATTCATAAAGCAAATATTTAGATGACTCTATTACTATATATTGCCTCCAAACCCTTTTTTTTTCAATACTTATTAGACTAACTAACTTTAATATATAATTTAAAGGGAACATATTTAATCATTGTTTGACAGTTTGGATTTCTATATATTTATACAATTAGTCCTGTATTTTATGTACAAGTTTAAAATTATCTTATTAGAACTCTACCCCCAAAATTTATTCAGCATTAGTTACATGCTCAGCACGATACACAGAAACAAATGTAATACAAAATAAATATATTAGAATCAGTTAGAGTTTTCAAACCATTAAAATAATATCAGAGAAATAATTATAATTAAGGATCAAGCCCCTTTTTCTCAATAATCTTACTATAAGCATAACTTAAAATACAGATGTGACCTCACCCTCTGATCTTGGTGAACCATCATCCTTCAGTCCTTGTGTCACGATCATCACTGAACTTATTGGACTGCTTTCAAATATTAACTTATACATAACATTGCTGACAGGGAAATTAGAAACTAACCCACTTTTCAACCAATCAGCATTGGCTAAATTTTCTATTAAGTGGCTCACTTAATAGTTAAGCATTTCCTCATCACCTGACATTTTGACTGACAGGTTTCTCAATTTCGGGGGCGTTGACTTTGGTCTTGAGTACATAGTTCTAGAAATGTACAAAAATCGCATAAATTCCTTCAAAAACACCCAAAACTAGGAATTTCCCTTTCTGTTTTTATATATGCTTTTTCGATAGATGTTAGAACACTATTACTGATAAGCTTAGCTAAAAAATTCCCATTTCTGAGAGTAAGATTCGATGTGCAAAGTGGAGAATCTGTCCCTTTAATTAGAAGACATCAAGCTTTTTTTGTCAATTAACAATCAACATTCATCTGATTGGAAGACTATGTCCAAGCGTAAAATTCTACACTACACTGGAAAATTTTTTTATCAAAGTTTTTTTTTTGAGAACTATTTGCCTGAAGATCAGTATTTTCTCTGTTGGCAAGACAGACTGCCAGTGCATTGGTCAATAGAATGCTTTTGTCATTGGTAGAGCAGTTAGACACTTAGTCAGTATTTTCCCTGTTGGCAAGAAAGATTGCCAGTGCCATGAACTGTAGAATGCTTTTGACATTGGGGAAAGTAGTTATACACCAAGTGAGTGTTTTCCCTAGCAAGTAGTTTTGACATTGAGCAGTTAGATATTAGGTATTTTTCCCTGATTGCACTGATTTTGACATTGAGATGCCATTGTGGAAAGACAGAATGCCACAGCGAGTAGAATGCTTTTGACATTTGGGAAGGCATTTAGCTACCAATGGCAAGACAAGTTGTCGATAATACTTTAGCACTTTCAGATTTAACCTCCCCACCCCCCTAATAAATAGTGGGATGTTTTTTGAGGTCAGGGTCATCTTTATAATCTGCGAAACCGTATTCTTCATCACAATATTCAGGCAATTTGTCCTCTTCTTTCCTCTTATTGATCAGATCCAGCGCGACTGTAATATCTTCATTTAATACAGAATCTTCCTGTTCATCACTCTTTTTACTACTTGGAAGTTTCGCTATCGACATCTCCATGTCTTTAAAAGCGTTAATTAAAAATATTCCACATACAATTGTTAAAAATCCACACAAATCACCAATAATATTCAAAACAGTCATGTGACCGAATTCCCGAAATAAAATTAACGAAGCTGCGATGACAGACGTTGTAAAAAAGACGTAATATATCGGCGTCACAACCGACGTGTTAAACGTGTCCAATGCACGATTTAAATAATTTAATTGTAGTAATATACACACAACTACTATAACTAATAAAATATACGTCAGAGGTTTAACAAAGGCGTTGGTACCCCTGACAGTTTCTTTGATTGCCACACCTACTCCTTTACAACCCATCACGGTAAACGATCCGAGAGTTGAACAGATACTGATGTACACTAATATCTTAGTGTTACCGTATCTTGGCACGAAATAAAATATTAAGACTAATGTTGAAATGACCACCAATATACCAAACACTATAAACACTGAAATTAAAGAAGATTTGAAATCAGTTGTCTGTGTTATTAAAAGTGTAATAGAACAACATCTTAGCTAGTCACCTTAAAAACTTTATTAAAAAATATACCTTGACTGCAATAGTCACCTTTTTTGTATCATGGAAGTTTGTAAATGTAGCAATTTGGTTGGATTGTACGTAAAAAAATGAGTTATCATATCTCCAACCCTAAACTTAATCATGTTTTACCACTAATTGCTGATTGACTAACCAAATAGCTAATTAATGATATTTAGTTAATTTAGATGTATTTAACAATTATGCAAAGTTTCATTTTGTTCCAATGAAGAACTGAAAAGATCTGTGGCTTTGAAACTTTGAACTCCATTATCTCGAAACTCACTTTTGTGGATATAGAACAGTCTGGTTCTCATGTGACGAATCAGTGTGTCAATCATTTATTTGACACCCTCAACTTTCAATTGAACTCTTCCACACATGCATACCTTGTATCAATATAATCTGCATGTGTATGGTTGGTAGAGCTCATTTGTAAATATGGGGGTTGTTTGAGGTGATTGTCAAAGTATAATATCCCGTCTTGCTGTGATCGATGAAACACTGTTTCAACAGCCTCCTACTTGGGATCACAATGGATTTTTCTGCCCCTACGACGCTGACTGTAACATGGGCATAAATAAAACACCCCCTACCCCTACCTGGATCTTTCAGTTTCTCTTCTAAAGCTGCCATACTCTCCACTTCAGCTTCTTTAGGAGAATGTATCACCATGATAGTGGACCCCAATATACACAATAAACACCCAATTTTACCAAACAGATTCAATCTTTCTTTCAACTTCCATGATGCCAGTACAGCACTAGAATGGACAATAAATAATTATTCAAATAATCCTTCAATGGTATATCAGAAGCACAAGTTATAGTTTAGTAAAACAATCATTATAGATAAATACTTCTAGAATATTTATTATTTTCAACAACGTAGTTCTCACACGGTCATCAGAAACACAGAACCACATTGAAACGCTGAAAATAATAAATACTTCTAGATCTATCCCTAATAATTGTCTTATTTTATCATTCATAACACTTTTACTAAAATTGAGGTTTAGATCTTATTTACAACTTTAAAATGAACTTTATCATAATTATACTTGAAAAATTTCTAATTACAGTTTTCGAGTCGACAAAAATTTGACTAGTTTGATAGGCAAATTGTTAAAGGTATTGTTAAGAGGTTTTCTAAATTTTTTATCAGGGACATTGATAGCATCAATTTGCACCATTCCTATTTTCAATCAGATGTCTGAGGTTCTTTCAATTCCACTAAAACTAACGCCTTTTATGACTTCCCTAGAGGGGAGCTACCGGAAGCTACTTTTGATATCTATGCAGATCCTCTCTAGTGACTGCATAAAACACGTTAGTTTTAGTGGAATTGCAAGAACCACAGATGTCAGAATATTGGAATGGTGCAAATTGATGCTTAACATAAAAAGTTTAGAAAACCTCTTCTCAATCCCATTAAGCTTTCATGATATATTCCAGTCCACCAGAGATATAACTACTACAGACATGTTTCTATATTCTAACAGTCTTCTCCCATGTATGGTATTCGTACTGTGGATGCAAAAGACATAAAATAGCTCGGAAGCTGAGAGATCGGTGTCAAACAGGTCTAATTATATGTTAACATACCTAACAATGACACTTAGAGCACCAAGGGGAGTAACTAGGGTAGCAGGAGCAAAGGCATAAGCAGCAAAATTAGCAAATTCACCAGTCGTCACTGAAAACAGAAAACACACATGACATTAGATTAGGGTAAATAATTAAAGGGTATATCCATGATTTATCATTTTCTGAGGTTTATTTGAGTCTCGAATATAATATATAAATAGTACTAGAAATGTAGAAATTTCACAATCATTTCTAACTAGAAATTTAACTTTCTGAATCTATATATTATATATATATCTTTTCTATAGATGGTGAAGTATCAAATGAATGTATGATTGTGTGCTATCACTATTCATATTTTAAATGCAACAGTTCGCCATTTTCAGAGTTGATTTAAGTCTTGAATATATGTAAATGGTCTAAAAGTATTAGAACTGCAAGAAAATTGCATCTTGAAGTATATCTGTAAGAATTTTGAAAGAGATCAGTTTACCAACAGCTGAGATACTACCTGTCAAACTTTGGGACGTTTATTTTTTGGAACACCCGATATGTCTTGTTGCCAAGCTATATATTAAGATATTGAAACCCTTGTTTCTTCATGAAATGGACAGATTGAGAGATAAACAACTTACTTAATATCATACCAGCCCACCATAACCATTCTTTTAAATATCCAAAACCTCCATCACCTACAACATATTATAATAAAAAAAATATAGAAAAAAACAATATTTTACAAGGATTACAACTTCGATTTTCAAGATCCCATCTACCAGCTGGTTCCAGGCCAAACTTCTTGGCATTGATCTTTCCCAGAATAACTGTATCCATTTACAACTGGGTAGACTGAAGTATGTCAGACAGAGGCCGGGGCCCAGTTAAACAAACAATGTTGTTAGCATTCGATGCATATATAAAAATGGAAACAATTTTGATATTTAAAAATCAGACAAAAAAATTTGTGTAAAGTAGCCCCCACAAAAAGATAGTGACCTCTACTCTATGCTTTTGTCAGATGTTGATCACTTAATTATTACTTTTCATCAATTTTTGTCGTAAATATGGTATTTCTCACAGTAAAATTCTACACAAATTCTTCTTGTAATATTTTTTGTGCAATCAGGCCCAAATCTTTGATTTGATATTTAAGCATAACACCTGCGCTTGTCAAAAATCTTTGGGATTCCAAACACAATATAATATATAATACTATTCACATAAAATATTATGAATGAAAAATTTACTAACCTGCCCTGGTAGACGAATTCTTGGCAAAATTCAACAAACCAAGTTTTTTAAAAATAAAACTACATCCAACAAAAACACTGGATATGATAGCCAGAGTGACACCAATAATAAAATCTTCAGCAGACCGTACTTTTTCACCACCCCCCTCATCCACAGCAGATGTCATGTTTGTGGTGTTATCTAATACTGTTAGAGAGATATTGCTGTTTAATCTCTGAAAATTTAAAAAAATCATATCTTGAGTATGTCATTCTATTTTTCTTTTGAAAGCCATTGACTGACATGTTATGGCTAACCTATATTTGATGTCCAATAGAAGATATTGACTGTCGGTCATTGAGCTCCCCTGTCGATCATGTCCGGCATATAGAGCAAAATTAACAGCCCTGATTGAGATGCATACAAAACATATCTTCTGTTAAGGGCCGGGTTAATTACCCCGAGGGCATAATTTTGACATCTTTAAGGGGTAATGAGGCATTTTGTAGTTTAGAATAATAATGTTTGTCTATATTAATTAGACACTCAGCTATATTTCCAACATATAATATATTGACAAAATAGTAATGATTTAAACAGGTAAGGGGGGTAATGCAATCGACTACGGACCTTGAAAAGGGTTGAAAACCCCCAGGAAAATGAAGTAGCCCATGGATATTTAGATTATCATCTACGCAATGTGGTCTCTATGTTAAATAAATTTTACTACGTTCAAATTTCAAATAGTAAAATTAAACTAAACAATCTTCTCATTCTGTCCAAAACAATACAAAATATCAATTTTTTACACATTCATCTTAACTCTTCCTTCAAGTTTTAAAGATAGTTGCCCTACTTTTAAATAGGTCATATATAAATAATATGATTTACTTCACTTTTAACAAGTCAACAATACTAGTTCTATAATAAACAGTCAACAATACTAGTTCTATAATAAACAGTCAACAATAGAATTCATACCTAGAATTTTCTTTTCAAACTTTAAAATCTTAACTGTCTACTACTTTCTTTGTCATCACACACTTGTCAGTCTTCCTTGAAAAATAAACCTAGGCCTTGTGTGCCACCGGCTGTCAAGTTAAAGATCCCTTCACAGTTGGAAATCGGAAAGGAGAATGCTAATGCTGTTGGCCTGGCAAAATTTCCTTCAATGCACACTGTATAGCGTTGCCTGTCTTTATTAGCCAATTACATGTAGGTGCTGAAGAGTACGACGTAAAACTGCATTCGTTTCATTTCAACTTATAACAGTACTACAGTCTTAGTATGACTTTACTTTAAAACAAACATAGTCTTATAAGTTATCAATTGATATATTGATATCATTGACGAAATTGATACCAAAAAGTTGAAAATTGCTCACAGTACAAACAATATCCTAACTCTATGTTGGATTACATTAAAACATGAATATAATAGTAAAAACAATTTACATCCCAAGTAGGTATTATCATCAGCTTAGAATCAAATTACAACAAAATAGTTTAAAATTGAAACCACAAAGTTAAGAGAGCAAGGTTAATAACTAAACCTACCTTATCCATTTTAACTACAAAATCCTAAATTTACTCAAGTCGGATAACTATCATAAATAAGGGCGCAACATTAACCTTATCCATTTTGAAACTTGATTTAAAAATTTAAAATATGTATGTAGCCTACTTCCTTTACAATGAATGATATATAGAAATAATGTAACTCATTCTATAGAAGACTTGTTCTGCCAGTTTTTAACACACAATGTGTACTCAGGATATCAATGAAGGCATAATATAAAGATGTAGGGTTCAAATATAACCACTAGGAGATGGACATGTACCTGATCTAATCATTATCCATTTGACAATCTCCACAAGGTAGCAAAATCTATGAAATACAAGAACTGGATTTAAATTTAAATTTTTAAACTTGGTTAAAATGAGTCTTTATTTATCAGTGGACTTACCTGGTGTTATAACTATACAACGAGATCCCTCTATAATCCAATAAATTCAATAAACTAAGTAATAATTCATTGAACTAAATAATTTTAAAACATGCTTAGAAGTGTTTTTCAATAATTACTTAGTTTAATGGATATATCGTCTTATATAGAGATTTTATTTTTAAGTCCAACTGGTGAATATATACAGCAGAGATCAGAACTAATCAAGGTAAAACCAACTGATCTATTCATCTACTGTACCCACTGGGTTCATATTAAACATGAAAAACACAACTTGAACTTGAGGTAGTATTCCTTTAACGTTACAATATAACTTATGTAAAGGATAACTTACTAAGGTACTTACTCATCCCTATTTATATACCTCATACTACTGTTTAGTTACAGTCTATATTTAACTAATAAGATAAGCTGTATGACTATTAATCCATGAAGAGTCAAGTCATAATTGCCAACCTGTAACTTATTTCATCATATCATGACCAGACCATAACATCTGTCTCTATTTCAGACTCTGGTAGCTATTACCACAGTTGTAAGCTGGTGTAAGGACAGAAAGACTAGGCCCCTATAACTAGATAGTTGAACATCTTATTTACGAGTGGAAAGTCAAAAGCTTAATTTTAGCTGCCAGTATATTAGGTGCTGTGGGTCAGAATCTCATGATCCCAGTCCCAACCCCCCATCTGGATTCATCAGAAAAATATACTTTATAAATTATCATTGATAAAAACCTTGTGTTCTCCTGGTCAAATTTGTCTTTTGGACTCTTGATAGAACTTACACCCTCCTTAAAGGAACAGTGTGCGCCATTTTGGGGATTTTAAATCTTGAATACATGTAAATAGTCTTCAGAAGTACTAGAAATTTATGAAAATCACATAATTCCTTTAAAAATACTTCAATCTAGGTATTTTACCCACTATTTCTATAGATGTTATTCTATATATCATAGAGTATCTTAAATTGACGAGTCATCCTTTTAACATTCATTCGCGAATAATTCTGGACACACATAGATTTGAAGGCTGAAATTTATATATACACTATAACTGTTTGACTTAGCTAAAAAATTCCCGTTTTTGAGACTAAATTATGATTGGTGCACTGGTCCCTTTAAAAATGACTTAAAAAAAAACTAAAAAAAAACAACTTTGCTTTTAAAAACACAAGATATATAGATATATATATACATTGCTCTAGGTCAAATCTGTCATCTGGACTTCTAAAAGAACATCAAAAACACAACCTTAGAAAATGATTAAAATAGGTCAAACAGACACTGACAATAGATAGCAGACCATTCATACTCAAATTTCAATGATACTCAAAAGTTTGCGATATCAGCATCCGCTGGAAGCAAACATTAACATACCTACCTACCTCAAAATATTTGACAACTTTTATTTAAACTTATGATTAAAATATTCTGATTTAAAGGAAATAGTTTTTTAACCCTTACCTTTCAATATGTTAAATAAACAATATGGGGGGTCAATACAACTGTCATGTGTCGTGTCATAGGTCATGTCACAGGTCAAGTCAGTCAATGTTTACTGGTGTTACTATAGATAGATTATGATAGATAAACTGGTCATCTAATATTATAGTGTTAATCAATATCAATATTTTGTCTGTATCAACCATTCCTGATAGGCCTACAGGTATAATTATCATTATATTGAATTGTGTGACCCATTCCAACACCTCAATAGATTTTAAGATTGACAATTTCACTATGGGTGATAATAAATATGGTCGAATCTATTATTGTAGTGTTAATCAATATTAATATTTGTATTTATTATCTCTAACCTTTCCTGATAAAATCTACACTTATAATAACTATTTGTGTCCTGCACTTTGGGGTTTATATAACACTTTAAATGATTAAACCACTGAAACCACACAATCTAGCCGGTCTAAACCATTATTAGTTAAGATATAAAGTAAGTGTTTCTAAATTATAGTTTTCAACTTTTTAATTCAGATCAATATTTTTATGATCCTGATTGGAATAAACGTCATTGAAACTATTATAGTGTTTTAAATTTATAGAGGTATGAATTCAAGGTTTCCTAACCCTCAAAAGTTGAGACCCCCGAAAAAAAAAGGATTTTGAAATTGCTATACTGACCTGTAAAACATCATCTGGAGTATTTTGTAGTAAAGGTGTTGAAAATGTAAGGTTGGCCATGGTAAAACGTTGATATAGAATATAGGATATCACAGATAATCCTATTAAACTCAGTAGACACACTTGGAGCAACCTCTGAAATAGATAAACAATTCAAAGATAATACAGGGATGACCAAGGGTGGTGATCTAAATGAATATCCACATATTCGGCAACCTGTCCAATATAAAAAACTTAGGATAAAAAAATATGAAAAGGATGGCCAGGGGCATCTACAATATACTGTTACAAGTATCTGTTATACACTGCAGGCAGACTAGAAGCATCCCTGGAAAATATCAAATGTAAGTCAGAAAGAAAGGAGCAACAATATATTTAATCTTCTTACTCCTATGGACCTAGTAGATAACTCAAAAATAACTCAAATAATACTTTCAGATGAATTTTACCGTCACACATTTCTGAGATGGGGAAGTTTAAAACCCTTTTCTCGCTGTTGATCAGGTGTCTTAGTTACATCACATAGCCATTTCCTTTATATGACGTCGCCATCATTTGAATGGATGACGCAATTATGAACCTCGCTTTCAGTGTCTCAAAAACGAGGCGGTCATATGGTCTATAGCATATAGTACATACTTTTGAAATTAACCATGAAAGTACGTAATTATAAGAAAAGTGTGCACACTTCGGTACGAAACAGCTGAAATAAAAAAATACAAGACATCAATTTTTATACCCTTCTCTAACCACTTTACCACAGATCTTCAACAAGTAGATATAGAATACAAAAATCATTTTAACATCTTTCACCAAATCATTTTAAAAATCCATTGCAAATCATCCTAAATCTTTCACAATCTCATGCCAAAATCACTCAAAATTATTATTTAAACAAATGTTGATAACTCACAAGATGATAGTATAGCTAGCTGTTTTAGAAAAATTGATAAAATCATTATGTTACACATTGTTCCTTGAGGCAGACTGTGATATAATTATTGTATTGTATTATAATAATTAAAACAAACAGTCTACCTCTCCTACATATACTGTATAATTAGTCAATAACTTTAAATATCTAACATAAACTACCTCAGTGATACACCTTGTCCCTCCAACCAGTAAAATATCTAACATAAACTACGTCAGTGATACACGATGCAAGAATTACAATACGATAAGTATCACGATTCAAAGTCTGAAATACAATACATATCACGATTTGGGATAATAGATAAATAGCAAAACCTCATTTTGAAAGTTTCAATGATTTTTTGTAATACCAGAAAACAAAAAAATCATGTTTTTATAATGTTATAACATTTCAAAAGCTTCTATTTCCTTTTTATAAATTCCAACCCAACATCATAACCCAACATCATAACCCAAGACCCAACATCATAACCCAAGATCCAACATCATAACCCAACATCATAACCCAAGATCCAACATCATAACCCAACATCATAACCCAACATCATAACCCAAGTTCTATTACAGTTATTAATACTCAATATTCTGCCTTCATATTTGGTTTACTTTTTTACTGGTTTACTAATTTTGACCACATCATATAAAGGAAAATTACCTTATTTGGACGTATCTTAATATTTGAATAATTGAATTATTGTCAAATATAACAGTTGTATAGATTCAAAACTCTTCCCCAAAATTTATTTCAATTTTTGAATTTCCCCCCAAACTATATAAAGATATTTCTAGGAAACTATACAAATAACATGTTTTGCTCTTTTCCTTATTTTTGACCCTCCCTCTATCAGGTCGTACTCTCAGAATGACCCCTCAAGGACTGAATAGTCCTTTGTTATAGTTATAAATTAATAGACCTATTGTACCGTACTATATAAGGAGAACTCTTGTTTTGTTATGATAATATCAAAAATAGAGATTTATACAAGTCAAAGTGTCTATTAGACATACATAACTTTTGTCAAAATATTTATGATAAAAATAAACAAAAACGAGAAATTCAACTTACAATTTTGTTATAAAATTCCTATAATAGTATTTTAGTCCTAGACTAAGTTTAGTCCAATGTTAAGTGTGTGTATTAATAAAGTATATGTATATAAATATAAGTGTTGAATGGTAAATACCTGAGTAGTGGGGATTGACCGTGAATGGACTATATAGAATAGTAAGGGAATGCAGACATGAATAGGCTAGTTGCTAAGTGGAGCGAAAACAATCATAAAACCTATGATATTTTACGCGATATTGTTACCTGTATGACATGATTATCACGTTACCTGTATTACCTGTGTTTCCTCAACGTACTGTGTAATAAAGTTAGAAGTAGTATATCTATATATCTTGTATTCTTTATACAAATATAAATTTTTCAGGGTCAAGGGAGGTGGAGGCACGCATACACAAATGATATAACTTCTATAGATTTACCTATATATATCGTGTTGTTTTGTTGTTAATCATGTTACCTGTGTGTTTAGAAATGTAGTATGTAATAAATCTATATATTTAAGAGTTTTAATAATAAACGGTCTCAAATATAAATTATAAGACACTTTACATTCCAAACATTAATAGAATGTACACATATCTGATTTGGTGTAGTCGAAATATGAGTTTCATGTAATGGCTTAATTGGACGTACCCACATGACAACTGTTGCTAATGTATTTCTAGTTCTAGTTCAAAAGTTGGAAAATTATGTTAAGATTAAGAAATCTTTTATTTAAAAAAAGTACTGATAATTTTTATCAAATATGTAAGACAAGCAATGGAGCACCAGTGGAGGTACAGGGGGGTGTGAGTGGGCTATAAAAATGGCTTGCGTCCCCATTTGTACCCCCAGTTTATTTTTAACAAATTTAATATTATGATATATATATATTTTGGCCTATGTGTCAGATTGCACCAAATCAATTCAATTTTTCTAAAATTTTCTAAATTATTCCACTGTGCTAGCAGACGAAATCAAACAAACCACTGACTGAGCTATTCCAATGTCCTAGCAGACAACCATCCATGTTGCTACTGAGCTATTCGACTGTCCGAACAGAAAACCATTCAACTTACTACTTACTGAGCTATTCCACTGTCCTAGCAGACGACAAGAAAACTTGATACTGACTGAGCTATTCCACTGTCCTAGCAGACGACAAGAAAACTTGATACTGACTGAGCTATTCCACTGTTCTAGCAGACGACAATCCAACTCAATACTGACTGAGCTATTCCACTGTCCTAGCAGACGACAAGCAAACTTGATACTGACTGAGCTATTCCACTGTCCTAGCAGATGACTATCCAACTTGATACTGACTGAGTTATTCCACTGTCCTAGCAGACGACAATCCAACTCTCTACTGACTGAGCTATTCCACTGTCCTAGCAGATGACAATCTAACTCGCTACCAAATGAGCTATTCCACTGCTCTAGCAGACGACAATCCAACTTGCTACTGACAGCTATCCCACTGTCCTAGCAGACAATCCAACTATCTACTGACTGAGCTATCCCACTGTCCTAGCAGACAATCCAACTATCTACTGGCTGAGCTGTCCCACTGTCCTAGTCCTAGCAGATGACAATCAAACTTGCTACTGGATGAGCTATTCCACTGTCCAAGCAGGCGACAATTAAACTTTCTACTGTTCTACAGCTAACCATCAATAACAATCAAGCTTGCTACTGACTGAGGTGTCCCACTGTCCTAGCAGACAACAATCAATTATTTCACTGCATTAAAAGACGAAAAAACGCTTTCAAAGAATGAAAGAATGAATGAAAATATAACCCACTACTTCTCTTTTTTTCATATCCTTAATATCAACAACATTTTACTCCAATTCTTATCACAAATCATGGATTGTAATTAAGTTATAAATGCTGATAGAAAGAAGGTAATCAATATCCACTCATACAGGTAGCAAGTTGATTATCAGAGTTCATTGTAAATACAGTGCCATGGTCCAATTAACTCTAACCATAAAATACGAATTCAATCGAAACTGGATTAAGATAAGTCATACCAATAATTAAATTATTCACAGCAAATAATAAAACAGCCCAATGAACTCAAACAAGTAAAATACAAAATGTAATTAGTTAAGTTGATTGATCAATATACGATAATGAGAATCGTTAGAGCCCTATGGCACAAACAAGTAATCCTTAATGTTATAGATAGATAGATAGATAGATCTAGATCTAGATATAGATACCTTACATTACCAATCACCAATCAATATTAAAGGGACAGCTGCACCATTTTGGGGGTTAAGTTTAGTCTCGAATGTATGCAAATAATCTTCAGTAGTTCTAGAAATGTACGAAAATCTCGTAACACCTTCAAAAATGTTACCATTTCTGGGGTTACAGAAAATTGAAAAATCTGACTGTTCAATGCCATTTGGAAGAAGTTGTACCACAGTCTCATCTATCTTATTGATAAAGAGCTTAGTCTTGACAGGACCAGCCAGGTCAGTAATTTTGTGTAAAAAAAAAAAAAAAAATGAAACAAGGATAACAACTTATTGTCTGAGCAAGGTAAAAAGTTTTTAAGTTTTTTTTTATTATATTTTTGAAAAGTGGAATGACAGCTCAAAATAGTAGGTTACTGTTAGACTTAGAATGTCTTTGCATTGATTAAAATAAACATGAGCGTATAGCATATCTTCAAAACTTTTTTGTACTTAAGACATGTGATTTTTTTTGCTTGCTGAGTGCTGACTGAGATTAGAACCTACAACCACCATTTGTTTATCCTAACCACGCCATGGATGTCATATGAGTATTACAAGTCATTGGCTCAAAGTTTTATAGACTTTGTACTTTGTTGGAAAAGGTGTATGAAGGACATAGCTGATTGTACTGATAATTTTACCACTTCATACAAATTTCATTCATTAAAGATAGCAATATTTTACTGTGGTCTGACATTTAAAAAAAAATCGTTCTCACCAGTTTGGCAGGGCAAGCCATTCTTTCCAAGCTTGAAACTTGAATGGTTCTTTAAAATAATGATCATTTTATAATTTCGTTGATCTATATTTCATTTCAGACGAACTAAATGGAAAATTTAGACAGAATCCTTGACATTTTCATTCAACGTCAAAATGTCAACAAAGAGATGAGTTATCTTGCATTAATACACCAAATTGATGACGTCAACCGATGAAGATGAAATTATACAAAAGTTACCTCCCCCTGACTACACAGAAATTGTGACGTTTTTTACAAAACACTTCTATGAAATAACAATTTTACTTTAATTTCTTTAAAAATGAGTGGCAAAAATGCCCCAAAGCGAAGAGAAATTACACAAGAAGCCATGTACGATTTGGAACAACAGTTTATTCTTCGATTGCCGCCGGTTAGTACATTGTTTACAACAGATAATTCTTACAAAAGAATCGTAAAACAATTAATCATATTATGGAGGGGGGTGGGGGGTGTTGTTCTTTTCATAATATGACCCCTATTGTAATTGGCCTTGCTCTTCCTAAACAAATAAAGACATTGCATTGATCTTTGATCTAAATCTAAGACTCAGATGAATTTTGAGATGTTGGATATTTTCATTAGACTGAATGTAGAAGTAATTTTTTTCATAATGCATGTATTTTGTCAATCATTGAATCTGTTTTTCAGGGACCTGCCATGGCTTTACATCACGATATAGAAACTGGTTCTCTAAATCTAAAAGAAAAATTAAGTATTGAAATGCAGCCTGATATGAGACATGCTAGAGTTCGTTATGGTGGAGATATATTCGCTTCGAAGGTAAATTGATATTCTTTGGGTGCCAAATTGACCCTGAAACTTGTATTAGATTTACTGATGAATGTATTAATTATTGATTGAAAATGATGTTGAATATAAATATTGTGTTAGGAGTAAAAAAGCCAAATTGTTTTGTGGTGTATTGCAGCATTCGAAATTGAAACATTAAGTAATGTGGGTTTTGAGTTGCGTTAAAAAACATGATAGTTGTAAGTATATCATATACCAAGTTTTGGATTTTGAATGAAGGCTACCTGATTGTTCATGAAATTGCTAGATTGACAAATAATTCAGATAAAAACAAATATTTTATATTTATTTTTCAGTTAGTAGACTTACCATGCATCATAGATTCTTTAAAAACAGTTGATAAAAAAACTTTCTATAAAACGGCAGACATCAGTAAGGTTTGTAGTGTTTGTCATTTGTTTTTTTTTTAATTCAATTGAAAAACATGAAATATGTAATCTGACTTCTGTTAACTTGAAAATTTCTGTCTTTTTAGTCCAATTTATCTGTTATTGAATTCAATTCATATGACAGGGCATTGAAAATGTTGGTTAAAACACTGTGAGGAAGAAGAATATGTTGGATTAACTGTTAAGGAAAACCATAAGATGAAAGGAGATGAATACCACCTCAAATTCAAGCTATATTTTGTATATGGTGCCTTAAGAAGGCTATACCAGTCCATGAATTGATAAATATGTATTTAACCCTTTCAATCATAGCAGCAGGTTAATCGGGCAAACATTAACATAATATGTACCCGAGCAACCGCTAAACTGGCTGTTACTAAGTGACGTCACACAACGTTGACCTCATACGCTTTTACTTATATTACTTGGAGTTCAGGGTACAGGACGTTTTATTTCAGTTACACTCGGGGGTCTAAAGGTTAAAATCGTGTAAGAGTATTGTTTATATTCCAGATGTTGATATGTTCAGTTGAAGATGATTTTAGCCAAGATGAAGCGGATTCACCCAAGAAAAAAGACAAAGATAAAAGATATATTTATAATCATGGAGGTTGGTCATGAATTTTAAAAGTTCTAAGTTTGAACTTACACATCAAACATCTTCAAACAGTTGTTTTAACTAAAACTTAACTGAATGAGTAAATCTGATTTTTTCTATATTGATTTTTTTTGATTAATTTCAGTTACTCCTCCGCTGAAGAATGTAAAAAAAAGAAGATTCAGAAAAACTTTAAAGAAAAAGGTGGGTTAAATTTATCTTCAGAGCACGAACTATTTTCTTTTGTGACATGCAGTTTCTAAATTCCTTTTAAGCCTATGTTTATTAAGCTGTTAGTCGCACCAAACGCTTGAAATACATTTCTCCTCTGTCTGTGTATATAGCAAAGTTTTTGCACTGTTCTGCAAGATGTAACCATTACCAACATTTTTATGTGAGAAAAATTTGTATTGAAATACCGGTATTTTAAACAAGTGAGATCAAAATCAAAGATTTGACCCACAGGTCTAAAACTGATCTAAAACCCCAGGATTGCCATTTTTTTTTCAATGGTCAGTAAGACAAAGCATATGAATATTCAGAAATTTGAAGACACAACTGTTGAAACGCTAAGCAGAATATTTTAGCGAAAAGTTTTATTGATTTCAACTATTATATGTCTAGTGTTTAGATCAGCCAGAAATAGAGAAGGAAGTAAAGAGATTATTTCGTTACGATGCCGAGGCTATAGATGTTAAATGGGAGATAATTCGTGATGAAACAGAATCTAATAATTCAGGACAGATTATGGAAGGGAGTACCTCAACACGTAAAAACCCTGGTCTAGTACGAAATGATACGGAGGCTTCTATGGACGTTGGTACGAAAGTTTTTCAATATTTTCATCAACTTCATAGTGTCAAACTATTACAAACTTTTTCTTATACCTAGACTGCAATAGCCACCTTTCATGTATCACAGAATCAATTTTGTTGGATTGTATGCGAATACCATCAATCAGGCACAAGACAAAGTTTGTAACAGCATGATATTGTGAAGATGTATTTCCATATGACAAAGCTTTATTCAGTGAATTCTCTGATTGGAATATCACTCTTTTACCTGAGGGGAAGATGGTGGATAAAACAGCTTGTGACTCTTCTGAGCTTTGGATATGAGTCTATGATAGAGATTTTATATTCAGCACTAAACTTTTCCTTTTTTTTTTCTTCTAGCATCATATTTTGGTGAAGTGAGCAGCTCTGATGAAGATAAAGATATTAATATAATGGACAGTGGAGAAGATGATACTTCACGCGGACCACTGACACCTCGAGTTACATTTGGTCTCGATAGATCAGCTAGTGAGAGTCAAGATATACCAGACCAGGACACAGGTAAGAGGGACCAGGATTTAGATTGAAGGGGGGCAGAGTTTAGTTTGAGAGGGGTAGGGAGTAGGTATAGAGGGGCAGTGTTTAGTTTGAAGGAGGGGCAGGGAATAGGTAGAGAGGGGCAGAGTTTAGTTTAAGAGGGGCAGTGTTTAGTTTGAAGGAGGGGCAGGGAATAGGTAGAGAGGGGCAGTGTTTAGTTTGAAGGAGGGGCAGGGAATAGGTAGAGAGGGGCAGAGTTTAGTTTAAGAGGGGCAGTGTTTAGTTTGAAGGAGGGGCAGGGAATAGGTAGAGAGGGGCAGTGTTTAGTTTGAAGGAGGGGCAGGGAATAGGTAGAGAGGGGCAGAGTTTAGTTTAAGAGGGGCAGTGTTTAGTTTGAAGGAGGGGCAGAGAATAGGTAGAGAGGGGCAGTGTTTAGTTTGAAGGAGGGGCAGGGAATAGGTAGAGAGGGGCAGAGTTTAGTTTAAGAGGGGCAGTGTTTAGTTTGAAGGAGGGGCAGGGAATAGGTAGAGAGGGGCAGTGTTTAGTTTGAGTTTTAGTTTTAGTTTAGTTAGTGTC